CGTCTCACCCACCAGGCCCTTCAACGAGCCTGTGGACATGCTCTGCGTCATCGTCTCCCCCCTCGCGTCCGCCGTCAAACTGCGCTTCAGCGGAACCCCCGCCACGGTAGCCTTCCCATCTTCGCCCTCTCTGCCCTCTCCGCCCTCTCCGCCGCAGTTCTCGTCGGTGCGCGCGGCGCTTTCCCGCCTGCCCCGCGGGCGGCAATGCCGCAGGAAGCCGCGCAGCCCCCTCTCGTCGCCCCCCTCTCTCTCGTGACTGCTTGCGCTGCTGCTGTTGCCGCTGCTGTCCCGCGCTCCCTCAGTCCCCGAACCCTCTCCGCCAGCTCTCCCTTCCTCCGCCAACCTCTCCGCTCCGCCCTCCGCGCGGATCCCCCCGTAGTCCTCGTCGCCGCCGTATCCTCGCGTCCCCTCGACTTGGTCGACGGGAACGGACGGATTGGGGGACGAGCTTGACGCGAGACGCGCCATAAGCTCCGCATTTTGCGGAATGAACCTGCCGTCGCTGCCGAGGAAATCCAAGTTGTGCTTTCTGTGGTTGCGAGGTCCTGCCTTGCGTCTTCTAACCAAACGAACGGTGGGAAGTGGGGGGGTGCGGGGAAGGGAAGGGTTAGGGATGGACCGAGCGGAAGGCCGCCCTTCCCGTGCAATATTCGAAAGCAAAATTGGATTAGCAAATCCGTGCGAAATGTATAAAAATTGCAATCTTGAAGCTTGTTAGAAAGCACGGACATGGGCTCACTTGGATGGTAAGTCGGACTTGGATCGAACCCACATGCGGTAGTTCGCCGCCTCGTACTCCTCGAAATGCTCGTCCAGTAAACTCTTCGACCGCGAAAACGACGCCTCGCCACCCTCCTCCTCCGCCTGCTTCTTCGCGCGCAGCACCGCGACTGCCTCCGCCATCCCCGCTACCAGTGACAGACGAGAAACAGTAGCTGCTGGAAATAGGTCTAAATTACGACCATGTCTAAGGACAACGAAAGAAGCGTGACGTGCTTTGAGCGGCGGTGCGCCTGGTCAAAGAAGCACAAATTCCGATTTTGAGTCTTTGAGAATGTGGAAGTGCTTCTGCCGCACGCGTTACCTGCTGCCCGTACGTGTGCTGTCTTGTGTCTCATGTTGTGCTCTGGTGCTATTTTTGCCTGGTCTTGACGCAAGTGTGGAAGGCGAGGCGACGGCGAGGCGAGCCAGAGACTAAGTTAGCAACGTGGTTGGAGGCGATCCGGTTATGGGCTTTCTTCCGTTTGAATCTGGCGCAAACCACAAGCATTAGATGGATGGGATGCGATGCATTGCGATGCCATCAATCGGTGGTGCCTCTGGGCTGGAAACTCCACAGAATACGGCATAGCGTGTAAACCAAACCAAACCAAACCAAACCAAAAGACCCATGGTGTATCTGAGACTGCCACATGGTGCAGATTGCAGTTGATAAGTTTTGGCACGTACTGTCACTTGAGCGGAGTGAGGGACATGTTTGGGCTGGGCGTACATTGATAGAGCAATCCCCTCATCATGAATGAAATTGCAAGGTGTTACTCGTGCTATTTACGTAAAGAAGTAGTAGGTATGTTGCGGCAGGTCTGGGGAATGCTGGAAGGCCTTCCTGGGCCCTCAAACATCCATACCCTCCCGCGATGCTCAGGTCTGTCATGTCTTTCCTGTTTTTTTTAATTTTAGATTTCGCCCCTCTAGTTCTTGAACTATCCTGCCATATGTGCTCATCCTTTTGATAGAGCCCAGGGGTGCTCGGTGATTCTCGTATTTCCCGTCCCCGAAAAATGATCAACACCACAGTCGACCTCGGCAGCGATCGGCTGTTGTACACTGTACGAACTTTACACTATAATAACCTACTCTCTTTAAGTTAGGAAATGCTGTTAACACATACAAATGCTGCTAAATACTGTGAGAAAAGGCTTTGTAAAACTTTGTAAATTACATTATTTCTCTTTCCTGCTCTTGTTAGTGATACATCCGACAAATACTATACATGTGACCTACTTCACCACAATGCTGAGGAACGCCATGTAACCGACCGCCTTGCTCCATAGGTCCTAGCACATGCATTCCATAACCAGCAGCTGCATGGAGGGGAGGGGAGGGGAGGGGGAGGTACACCAGTGGAGCTTAAGAAACGGTTATAATGCCTTTGCCTATCCCTTTTCTACAGCACCTCCCAAATTATCCTCGAAACATAACTTGCAACTCACCGAGTAAACAGGAAAAAAAGCATCTGCACTTGGTGACCATACTGGTTTGGTGCTTTCATCCAGAAAAGATTGCTCACCATTGTTCCATAGACCCAACCCAGCATCATTGCAGCCCATCTCCTCTCTGCCTGAGCCTCACATTGAGCCTTCACAGGGAAGCAGCTTCCAGCACCCTCCTCTCTCACACCTCGTGAAACCCCACACTCTTCCGCACCGACCCATTCGCACCACCTCCACTTGCACCCCTCCCACGCCCACCCTCTCCCCCTCTCTTCCTCATCCTCTCTGCATCCTCCTCCATCTCTGACAACGATACGCGCCGGGCGGCTCGTGTGAGTGGTGACAGCTCCTCGCTCTGCTCCTCACCGCTTGCACTCCCCTTGCCATCGCCATCACCACTCTCACCATCACTGCTCCCAGGAGCCGGCGCCGAACCTGCCTGTGCGTCACGAGGCTCGGGATCAGGATAGGGGAACAAAGAGGTGCGGGTTCGGGGCATAGGCATGGTATCGGCATGAACGAAAGCCGCACTCTCATGAGTCGGCTGCTGCAAGCTATCAGCATGGGAATCGGCGCCGGAACTGGCAAGATGAGCCGAAGCACTGTCGTTGAGTCTCTGCCGGTGGGGCAGTGGGGTGGTTTCCACACGTGAGAGCACGAGCCCGTTGCCCTGCCTGCTGGCCTGGCTCCCCCGCCCCAGGTTGCTGGGTCCCATGCTCCCCCTCAGCCCTGCCCGCCCCGCACTCCCTGCCCTCCTCGCTGCCCCCCGCTGCAGCACCAGCAAGCGGTGCTGGGGACTGCCTGTGCCATACGGGTTGCTCGCGAGAAGAGGGTTACCAGCAGCGAATGGGTTGCGAATGAGGGGGTTGGAGGCGGTGAGAGAGGAGGCGGCAGGGGTGGAAAGGGGGTCTCGAGCAGGGGAGGTGCCGAGGGGCGTGCCGAGGGAGTTGGGGGAGAGGAAGGCGCCGTGGGCGGAGGAGAAGGAGGAGGTGGTGCTGAACGACGAGCGCGCTAGTGTTGCTGCCGCTGACGACGACACCGAATACAGCGGGTAGTGCCCCGATGCTCCCCCGGCCACACTCCCACCCACACTCACCGCACCAGCGACTGCACCCGCACCTGGCAACGTACCCTCCCCTCCAAACCCCATCCCCGCTCCGCCTGCCCCTGCAGCGACAGCGGAGTGCAGCGCGAGCACCATGGCTTTAAGCTCGTCCATGGCTTCCCGCACCTTGCCCAGCTCCTCCTGCACCTGCGGCAGCCCGTGCTTGGGCTTGTGCTGTGGCTTGCTGTAGTCGCGCACCACGTGGTCCCCAAACTGCCGCAGCAGCACGTGCGACAGCTGCTCTGACTCGGGCGAGATTTGCAGCACTGCCGCGGACGAGGGAGAGGGGAGGGAAGCTGACGGATCCTGTGAGAGGAGTGGGTCCGATGGAAGGGGGAGAGGGGCAGTGGGAGGGCGTGAGTAAGTCGTGCCGTGTTGGCGTTCAAGGGGTCTGAACAAATAGATCGGAGCAGGTAAAACGAAATCAAGGTGTGCCGGAGAGGACGCACGCACGCACGCACGACGCACCTCCCTGGCGTGGCGGCGCTGCAGGATCATGGCGAGCGAGATGTCATCAATGCTCTGCCCCTTCACCTGCAGCACCCTCTGCGGCGCCGCCACCCCCGCCCCACCCGCCGCCATCGTCTTGGCTCGCTCCACCTCCGCGGCACTCGGCCCACAGACCTTGCCGGTGAGGCAGGACTTGGCGCGGCGCTTGAACGACTGGTAGCGCTGCATGCGCTTGTGCGCCTCGTCCTGCTGCTTGTTGCGCGCGCCCAGCTGCTCGAGACGAGCCATGATGTCGCTGTACGGGGAGAAGCGGCCCAGGGAGCGGTTGATGAGGTAGCGCAGGATGGTGCCGATGTCGTGCGTTATTGATGTCGCCACCACGTGCGAGTCCTGGTAGAGTGAGCATTAGGGAGGAGTGTGAGAAATAAAGGAGGCGGGCTTACTTCTGGTCGTAACCAGAAACTGCTTGGGGAGAACAGACACAGTGACGCAGTAAAAGAAAAGAAAAAAAAAAAAAAAGAAAAAAAAAAGAGGTCACCTTGATGGTCATGAAGGCGTCGACGATGATGGCGATGAGGAAGTTGAAGAGGATGAAGACGAGGAGGAGAATGAAGGCGATGAAGAAGAGCATGCCTGCCACCAGGTCCCACCCGTGCATGTGCACAAAGAAATAGGCCGTCGCATTCTCGTTCAGGATGATCAGGAAACACGTGAACAGCGCGTCTGGCAACGTGGCGAACTGCACAGATTAGGATCAGGTTTGGGGCGACAGGGAGGGAGGACGCGCGGCGGTGAGTGAATAATAGCTTTGCGACAGGAGGTGCATGAAAGGTGGACAATTATGTATACTGACTGAAGGACGTGGGATGGGGTTTTAGCAATTCTGAGCCTTGTGTGGCCCATCTTGCCAGCCAACACCCACCTGCTCCATCTTGCCGGCCAACACCCACCTGCTCCATCTTGCCGGCCAACACCCACCTGCTCCATCTTGCCGGCCAACACCCACCTGCTCCATCTTGCCGGCCAACACCCACCTGCTCCATCTTGCCGGCCAACACCCACCTGCTCCATCTTGCCGGCCAACACCCACCTGCTCCATCTTGCCGGCCAACACCCACCTGCTCCATCTTGCCGGCCAACACCCACCTGCTCCATCTTGCCGGCCAACACCCACCTGCTCCATCTTGCCGCCGAAGACGAGGTAGCCGTAGAGAGCGAAGCAGAAGAAGACGATGAATGTGAGCAGGAAGAAGTGCAGCAGGGAGGGCATGGCGAGGGCGAGGGAGCGCGTGATGACGCCCAGATAGGGCTGGAAGTCCATCAGCTTGAGTAGGCGCACCATCAGGAAGAAGAGGCTGCATGTAGGGGAAAGAAAAGCATGAATTGAGTAGTTTGAGTAGCAAGAAACGACAATGTGGTAAGCAAAAACTGGGAACATCAGGCGGAAAATAATAATAATAATAATAATAATAATAATAATAATAATAATAATAATAATAATAATAATAATAATAATAATAATAATAATAATAATAATAATAATAATAATAATAATAATAATAATAATAAAATTAAAGAACAAAACAAAACAAAACAAAACAAAAAGACAAAAAAACAAGTGGGGCAGGCAGGCACGCACTTGACGCCCTGCAGGGCGAAGTAGAAGGAGCGCCAGTTGATGAGCGCCTGCAGCGCCGAGTATCGATCCATGGCCGCCAAAAACCCCACGGGCGGCTCCGGCACGGCCCAGTACTGCGGCCTCTCCAGCAGCGTGTGGTAGATGTCGTAGCGTGGCTGCACGTCAAACGCCTCTGTGGCCCGCCAAAGAACTATCCAGGTGATGAGAGCGAGGCACTGCAGGAGGAGAGAGGCCATGTCGATCCAGTTCCAGCCGGAGCGGAAGTAGCTGAGGACGGACCCCTCCCGCTTCACTCGCCCCCGCAGCTCCACCGCCTCCTCCACCCCGTTCCACAGCAGCGCCAACACGTACACCGCTTGCAGCAGCAGCAGGAAGACAGACGTGAGGGAGGGCGGGTAGAGGGTGGTGGAGACGGGGAGCGAGGAGAAGGAGGTGACGAGACCCCCGCCCGTGTCCACCTCTGCTGTGACGCGCGTGAGGACAAACGTGCTGCTCTCACCTGGTGGGAGAGGGGTGAGGGGAGTGGGCATGGAATGAGGAGGATGGTCACAACAAGGCGTCAGAATGTAAGGAGAGTCAGGAGGGAAAAGGCGGGAGAAGGCGGGAGTCATTGGGTCATTCAATCATGCATACCGTTGTGAGTGATGAAGGAGACTTCGATGGAGCGTGTGGCGTTGTCGACATAGAAGCCATCAGCGAGGTACTGCAGGCGGTTCCTGGCGTCCTCGAATGCCAGGTTCACGTCAAACACCAATGGGTAGCCCTCCTCCTGCTCCTGCGAGCCACAGGGGGACATGACACGTGGCACATGGAGAAGGAAGGGAGTGGAAGGCGGAGACGCGGAGAAAGGGGAAGGAGAAGAAAGGCAATGAGTGCTGCAACAGCTGCTCTTTGAAAAGCAGGGCACAAGGGACCTGAGTGGCAGTGGAGTCACATCACTGCGCAGGAGAAGAAAGAGATGGTCATAACAGCACTGGATCCATACGATAGGTATTGCAGCATGGGGAGAGGCGAGGCGAGGCGGGCCTACCACGGGGTACACAAAGCCGTACGGCAGCCCCTGTGGGTTCAGCACCAGCTCGTCCTGGGCAGACGCGTTCACAGCCTGGGCGGTGGTGGCGGTGGTGGTGGCGGCGGCAGCAGCTACAGGGTCGAAGAGCGAGGAGGAGGGCAGGTAGTGCGGGTTGACCCCAAAGGGCTGCCGTGATGTGCCGTTGCTGCACCACCCTGCCAGGTGATGCAGGCTGCATGGGCGCAGGAGAGGGGGAGAAAAAACCAGTGGAGATGGTGATGGGAAATGAGAGGCGGTGTTAAGGTGAGGTGCAGTGGCAGGGGTGAAAACACAGGACAAAGCGAAGCAGACAGGAGCGGCTGCGGTGTGTGACATGTTGCAACAGGGATGGCACGGCAGAGAGGAAAGCGGAATGGCAGCAGCAGCAGCAGGTAGGGTGTGCGGATGGAGTGGATACCCAGAGCCTTGGCATGTCTTGACACTCCAGCGGCGCTGGTGTAGGAACATGCCTATCAGCAACCTGCCATGCGGGGACGAGTGGGAGGAAGGGCGAGGAAAGGGGCCGTTGAGACGCCTGAAAGCTAGACCAGCAGTGCTGGTGAAGGAAGATGCTTACGAGATGAGCAGCCTGCATGCATCGGAGACCTGTATGAAAGGATTTAGCTCCACCAATCAGTCGGTCCCATGGAAGGCCTGTACCTGTTGTGCGAGGCCACAAAGCGAGTGAGCGGTGCGTTCCTCTCGGCAGCAAATGCGCGGTTGCTCTCCCAGAAGTTGGCGCCGTAGCGCTGCAGCGAGAAGGGGTAGCTCAGATTGTCCCCCACTGCGTCCGACACACAGCACGCTGCTCACATAAACACACAGACACGGGGCGGAGAGGGGGTAGGGGGAGGAGGGAGTCTTAGTGGTGCGTATGAAGAAACAGCAGGTGGGGGAGCGGTGCAGCGTGAAGGGGTAGCTCAGATTGTCCCCCACTGCGTCCGACACACAGCACGCTGCTCACATGCACACCAGCACGAGAGGGGGAGGGGGAGGAAAGGGAGAGGGAGTATGAGTGGAGAGTGTGGAAGGAGGAAGGGATGAGGCTGGGGTAGAGAGATGGAGGGAAGGCGGGGAAGAGAGGGGCGGGATGGATTGAGGCGAGACAAATCGCGTGAGAAAGAGGAGGTGGGTACGAGCAAGGGGGAGAAGGAGAAAGCGAGGCATGGAAGGAAGGAGAGGGCGGGGGAGGGACGCACATCCGTCGTGGCGCCGGGCCTGGCCAGCAGGGCAGGTGCAGAAGCCAACACCGAAGACGGGGTCGATGCACCCGCAGTCCCCGCCGTCAAAGGCGCACGCGGGCGTGTTGCACACCGGGTTGCACACCCCGTTCGCCAGCAGCTGCAGGGAGCACTCCGGCGCACAGTGGAAGGCAGTGTCTGGTGGCGGGGAGGGATGGGACGAGACAAGTGAGTGTGCGCGGGCCGGGGGGGACAGATGGAGGTGGGTGCGGGGCCGAACGAGCATCTCATCCGCCACCAGCGAGTTACCCAGGTGGCAAAACCGCAAGGCAACGAGGGAACAAGAACCGTGACAAAAGGCTTTGAGCACTAACCTTTAGGCTCGGGAGGCGGAACAAGCACGGTGACCATCCCCGACATGGAGGAGGAGCCTGTGGTGGCGGCAGCGGAAGCAGAGGAGGCAGAGGCGGAGGAGGGCCCCGCCCCCCCAATGTCGCCGATCTCGCCAACGTCGTTGCCGCCGCTCTCATAGAGGTACACGCCCGGTTGGTTGAACACCTTGGTGTATGTGAACGTGGCGTTGACATCTGATGCGAGCTCTGGACGGGAAAGGGGGGAGGAGGAGAAAAGGGGGAGCAAGAGGAGTGTGGATTTGGGGCGGGATGGGCAGGTGACTGGGTGGCATGATGCGGTGCGATACGTTTGGGGAAGAACGTCGATTCAGGCAAAGAGGCACTCACTGACGGCGCAGGGCACGGGGTCATCATAATCGTCCTTGGCGCCCACGTTCATGGGCGAGCAGAAGAAGCGCCGCGACAGCGCCAGGCGGTGGCCCCCAAAGCCCTCAAAGAAGGGCTTCGGCCCGTCGCCCATGCCCGATACTGCCACACGCACGGCGTGGAGAGGGGGGAGGGAGGGTGGAAAATAGAATCAAAAGACGAGTGCGACGAAGGATAGAACGATCAGAGCACCTAGCTGGGCGTCTGACCCAGAGAGAATGAGAGGGGCACGACCGACTCTGTTGGCTAGCGATTGACTGGCGAGAACCACAAGGGACGGACCAGCAGAGGAACAAGGAAGCACGCGAAGCAGCAGAAAGGGCGAGCTCACTCACTTCTGAGGGAGTGTGGGAGGTCATCATCCCACACCCAGGTGACCTTGTCGCCCACATGGATGGTCGTGTTGTGCTTCACACCCGCCTTCCACTGCAGCCACGTGCCGCCCTGCGAGCACCCCTCGGTGCTCGTGCTCACGATGGCGGGGTCCAGGCGGTGGAAGAAGGCCGAGAGGTCCGCCAGGGCGTCGGGGGTGAGCGCGGTCACGGACTGCATGGCGGCTAGGAGGATGTCGATGAATCGCCGCAGCTGCTGTGAGGTTATGACAAGGCGGCCACTGAAGGGTGGCAGGGGAGGGGGCAGGTGGAAGGAGGGGATAGACAGACAGGGTGAGGGGTTGGGAGATTGATAGTGGGTCGCCGCCACTGCAGCCACGTGCCTCCCTGCGAACACCCCTCGGTGGTGGTGCTGACGATGGCGGGGTCCAGGCGATGGAAGAAGGAGGAGAGGTCTGCCAGGGCGTCGGGGGTGAGCGCGGTCACGGACTGCATGGCTGCCAGAAGGATGTCGATGAATCGCCGCAGCTGCTGTGACGTGATCACCAGGCGACCCCTGGGGGTGGGAGGAAGGGGGCAGGAGGTGAACGCGAGCAGCTGGGTGGTTGACGGCTGGATGAAAGGAAGGTGAGGCGTAAACGAGGAGAGATCAACGTGTGAAGGGCAGGGAGGCTCACTCACCCCAGGTGCACCTTCTTGAGGTGTCTGTAAAGCTCCTCCGGCTGCAGCAGCTGGTTTCCCGTGGCGTTGCGGAAGCGGCACAGCTCCAGCTGCTCAGCCGGCCCGCCAAAGATGGTGCACAGGAACGCCGTGAACTTGCGGCGGTAGGTCTCTGTGAGCGTCATGGCGTAGGGTCCAGCAAGGCACGAGTCCTTTATCATCGTGTATAGGGTCCGTGAGACCGCCACCTGGAGGTTCCTGATTCGCTGCGCGTCTGTGGAGCCGAGCAGCGTCCACACGTTGGCAGCAGTGGAGAGATGCGGGAGGTCTGGTGGGGGTTGGGGAGGGGAGAGAGGGGAGAGAGAGGGACGAGTGAGTAGCGGCAGGGGGAGAGAGGGGTTGGGGGTGGAGCGGGGGCAGCATGGTGCCATGTTGTGGCATGGTGCATGTGTGTGCGCGCACAGCACTCACCAAGGGTTTCTTCCGATAGATCAGCTGCCTGCACCATGCGGTCCCCTCCCACCCCCACCGCTCCCACCGCTGCTGCCTGGTCAGCGGTTGCGGCAGCAGAGGCGGAGAGTCCAGGCATGGCGGCATGGCTGTGGTAGGCAGAAGCGGCATGGGGGTTGCGGGCAGAAGCGGCATGGGGGTTGCGGGCAGAAGCGGCTTGGGGGGTGTGAGCCGCATGCTCATGGTACTGCTCTGGGCCTTGGAGTGATGATGCATGGAACGCTGAACCATGATAGGCTGACCCATGGTAGGCTGCTGAACCATGGTGACTCTCATGGTATGATGCCCCATGGTGCGACGAATGGTACGATGTCGCATGGTATGATGGCACAGGGTTCTCATGTGCGCTGCCATCCCTGTGTGCAGCAGTTGCAGCTGCCTCCACCGCCGCTGCATGTGCGTCTGCTGCTGCACGGTGCCGGCTCTGGTGGAAACGGTGCCTCGTTCCATGCACTTCCTCTGCATGCCCTCGCGCATGCGACCCACTGTGTGCGTCCCCAGCGTCGTCCCTTGCTTTCCGACGGGCAGATGAAGCCTTGTCTGCAGCGGTGGGCGGTAGAGGAAGAGAGCGATGAGCATGCAGAGGGGACTTCAGGAATGACGGGCGGCAGTGAGTGGGTGGGTGCGTGGGTGAAAGCTGTGTGTGTGGGATGGCTCTGCCGTCCAATGAAAGCACAGAATGGTGACTCACAAGGAAGAGCAAACAGCATGGCAGTCTGTCCGAAATGGGAGGTCATATCATATGGCCAGGAAAGGAAGATGGTTAGGTAGTGGGATACGCACCTGTGCACATGGAGTTGGGAAACACGGTGGTGGCCTCTGCGGCAATCTGCATGGATGGGCATGGACCATGGATGCACGGGTATGGACGAATGGGACACAGTAACGACACATTGGCATGTGCAAACGGCATAATTCACGCTCGGCGGTTAGGGTCGTCTCGCTTAGTACCCTATAAAAGTATCAGAGAATTGAGGAGAGGAGTAGACTGCAAGTCGAGACACACGGTGGCATGCTGACCTGGGGGCACGACATGGAGTCGTAAGGCATAATGGTGGCCGGAGCTGCTCGGCAGATCTTCACACAATCCACAAACGCGCCCGCCACCTCCCTTGCTGCCACCTCCCGCCCACACGCCGACTGCAGACACACCGCCACCGACTCACACACCTGGGAGAGAACGGGCGAAAGCGGAGGAAATAGGGGATGCTGCAGTGAGCAAAAGCATAATGAAACACAAATCCGACCCACAAGCTGGTGCCATCTACCACCACCCTATCTCTCTGCAAACTGACTCGCACCAGACCACTCACACATCCACGATAACCATCCCCTCTCCCCTCACCTCTCTGCACGTGTCCAGCGCCTCACCTCTCTGCACGTGTCCAGTGCCTCTGCCTCTGCCGCCGCCTGGCGACTTATTCCCCCATCCAAACCCCTCGCCATCCGCGCACCCGCCAAACGCGGCAATGGTGACACTATTACTCGAACCCATATTCGTCATTGTCACACACCGCTTCCACCCGACCCAAGCCGCGCCATCCCCGGCTTCTGCGCCTGCAGCACGCCCTGCACGCCCCCCATGGGCGCGGTGATGAGGAGCGCCCAGTGGCCGTCGGGGATGTCGAGGGCGAGGGAGAACTGGGCGTGCAGCGCGGGGAAGGGCTGGGGGAGGGCGTGCCAGCACAGCGAGATGGGGCTCTGCATGCACAGGTTCCATGAGGACCACGCCAGGGCCTCAGGTGAGGAGAAGGATGTTGTGAAATGGATGGAGACGGAGGTGAGGTTGGGAAACGTGCCGCAGTCTGCTTCACAGCCAAACCGGCCGAACGCGGGGAACTCGAAGGGTTGGTCGCATGTGCCGTCACCGCATGGGGGGTCTTGCCAGAATTGCTGCAGTGAGGAGGGTGGGGAGAGGGTGAATGGGAACACTCCACACACACTTACAATATAGACCAAGCATGTGTGGCAAACTGTGGCAAACTGGCACATGGCATAATGGCGCATGAAGCATGGGTGACGGAAGCAGCAGATGGTTGAACCATTGGAAATGCGAGCGATGGCAGAAGAGAGCAGCAGCGCGGAGAAGAAGGAAGCAGCGGGGAGCTGATGAGGGCAAGCAGGCATGGGAGCCACCTGAATGATGCTTTCGTTGAGCCACGAGTAGAACTCGCCCGCTCCTGCAAAGCGGTTGGACGAATCTGGAGCGAAGTTCTGCGAGGGATGGAACACAGGGGAACAAGCAGACCTTAGGAGAGGAGGTAAGGCGTGGAACAATACGAATACGTTGTGAATCAGTTTCAGTCAGGCCAACTTGCACAGGGGTCGATAGAGGTTGTGGCGGGAGCTCGGGGGCTTACGGTGGGGATGAGGAGGGAGAGGTGGTTATGAACGAGAGGTGGTTATGAACAAGAGGCTTAGACAGCTTACGGAGGGGATGAGGACGGAGTGGGCGGAGGTGACTTGGTAGGTGCGGGAGGAGTCGGCCTGCAGATACACCATGGCCACGAACAGCGCCATCAGCAGCACAAACCCGCCCAGCGCGCGGTAGTGCTGCACCTGCGCGCGCAGGAAGCTCACGCGGTCAAACACGTCTGCGCGCCCACGGGGAACGGGGGTGCAGTGCGGTGCACAGGGGTGTGAGGGGATGCAAAACGGTGCGCGGGGATGTGCGGGGTTGCACGGGGATGTGTGCAGGGTCATGGGAGGAGGAGGCAATGCGTGGCGGAGGTGAGAACGCAGGAGCTCCAGCGGACAGGGCCTACAGGGGAACGGAGTCAAACGGAGGGCGGCAGGAGGGCGAGATATGACCGGCACGTGGGTACGCTGAACGCCTGCCACGTGGGTGAGCGCAGCACAATAGCCAGGCGAGCAGGAAACGGCAAGCGGGAGCAGCAGGCAACAGGCACGGCACGGGTGTGAGCGACGCGAGCGAGGGGGCCCAGCGGCGCAGAGGGATGGAGTGCGGTGAGTTGGTGGGTGGGAGCGGTGACGCACCTTGCACGACCTCCTTGTCGATCTCTTCCAACTCCTCGTCTACTATCGCCTCCTCCTCCTCGCCCTCCCACCCCTCCGCCTCCCCCGCCGCCAGCCCCTTCAGCCGCGCCAACTCGTCCGCCTCGCCTGCCCTGAGGCTCGCATCGTAATCCGCGGTATAGTGCTCCTCGTTACTCTCCCCGTCACAGTTATCGTCGTCGTCGTGCAAGCTTCGCCCCTGCAGCTTCCTGGCTCTCGCCGCTTCCCCCTTCCTTTCTCCGCATCCCGCCTCGTCACCGTTCTGCACCGTGCTGCAACGACTGCCATTCCCAGCATCAGTGAGGCACCGCTCTCCACTCCTCTCGACCGCTTCGGCATCGCTCTCACGCTCCGTCCCCGCACCCCCTGTAACTCCCCCCAGTCTTCTGCTTCCGCCTGTCCACCAAAAATTCCCGCAGCTTCCCTCACAGTTCCGCTCCCGCTGGCCGCGCTTCTTTCCGCCCTCATGCTTCTCCCGCCACGGCCGCACGAGCGGAAGCACGTGATGTGCGCGCGGCTGGTCGTGACTGGGGGAGCGCAAAGAGGGGGAAGTGGGAGTGGGGGGCTGTGCGGTCGAAGCGAAGATATTTTAAAGAATGAATCAGGAAAAACTCCTCAAATATAATAGAATCATATCAACGGCCAACAGCCGAAGTCTGCCGCCTAAATCAACAGAGAAAACGAGCTGGAACACGTGTGTGGGAGCGAATGAGCGCATCTGAAATAAAGCGCATCTGGAGGCGCGGCGGCATCTGCGCGCAACTGACCTGGGGCCGGCGTTGGAGGCGGAGCGCGCCCACATCTGGTGGTTGGCGCGCTCGTACGCGGAGAACTTGTCCTCCAGCAGACTGGCGGAGCGCGTCAGCGCGCCCCCCTGCTCCTCCTCCTCCTTCTTCCGGTTGCGCACTATCACCACCGCTTCCGCCATCCTGCCTGTTAACCCGCTCGCTGGTTACCGTGGCGACGGATTGACGACTGTACAACGCGAGAGCTACTGAGCAGTATTGCCGTCGCGATGAGTTCGCCGCTTAGTACTCTACGCGACTGCACATCTCTCGACTGGAATTTGCATATAGTACAGACTTCTAAGGCTGAGCTTCGGCTGCTATGGAAGTTAGGGTTTCGCGAAAGCGCGAAAGCGCAGCGCTTTCTTGAATCTGCGCCGTCCGCTTGCGACAGTATCGGGTTTTCCCGATGCCGCGCGTCAGTCCGACGTGCTGGTCGCACCCACCGCTGGATAAATGCGCGGCGCGGAGGCTACAGCGTGCGACACTATTAACCGTCGAGAATTCGCTACACACTCTCGAACTGCAGCTGGTCACTGGAGCAACAAGTAGGGTGTGCGAGAGTCGATCGTGCGACGGATAGGATGAATTCAGCTTCTTCACAAGGAAATCGCCAGTGCACGTGCTGCTGTGAAATCCACGACCGCTTATGCCGCTGCTTCGTCTGACGCTGTGGTCGTCTGCGTCTACTGATGGGGGGGAGCGGCAAGGGTAAGAAGCGCATGCTCTTGCTCCACGACAGCAGCACCCTGCTGGATACCACGGCCATGGTCATCTTGAGATTCCTCTTCCCCGCCGCCGCGGGGTAGATATCTTCGCCTACTGCTGATGATGGTTTCTGCTGTCTCGGATCGTCGTCGTCGTCGCTCGGTGCGCTTTCCACAAGACGGACGCGAAGAAGATGACGTTTGGCCATGTCACAGCGGCTGCTCGCTGGCTGCGGTGGCGGCATGTGCGCAGGAGGGAGGTTGCAATGAGTGCTGCACGACGCGAGATACAGCGTCCACAGCGCACATGGATCTCCTCCTCAGGCCGCTTCAAGCCGTGCTGACTACGCGCGTGGTGCTAGAATGCATTTCAGCCACAAGCGCTCCTTCCTCACCTCAAGCCTCTTCTCAGGCCAAACCAAGCATCTCTAGTGGAATGGCTACTGTACAAACAAGTATCCATGGCCCACCAGGCAAGAACAAGACATGGAACAACAGCTTTCACGGTGTGTACAGAACAACTTCCCTGACCCATCCACCGAGTGGATTTTGGGATGGACACGAGACCAACATCCTTTGACCTCGTTGCACCGAGCGATAAGCCTACGCAACATTCCAGAGCGCATAGGATCGTGGTGCACCAACGATTCGTTCGACCCCGTCAAGTTTCCACGTCAGAATCCATCCCCACAACGCAAGCATCCCCGCTGTGCAGCCCAGCTCAGCCCGTGTTGTTGCGGAAACCCGAACCAATCCAACCTCAAGCGCCATACGCCCCTCAGTCTCCCAGGATTCTTCACTTGTCATGTGCCAACTGTACATATCCTAGGGTCGTCGTTCAGCGCCTCGCGCGCGAATCATTGGAGACAGCGGTGAGGATGAGCTGTCATCGTTGAGCGCTGTCATTGGCTCGCATTTAATGAAGACATTCGGCAGCTTGAAAATGTGATTAGCAACGAAACCCGGAAAACGTCGAATCAACTGCACTAAACCCATTGAATTAAAATGATTGTATTGTACATTGGCTACAATACTTTCATGAAGCAGCATCCATTGTCATCCAATAGCACTCAGGTGAGGCCAAGTCATCTGTCAATTGCATTAAATAGGACGCGTATCCTCAGATCATTCAAAATTTGGTGCTTCCTCCAAATCTTTTACACCTCTTTTCTACACCATCCCTTGTGGCCTCTTCCATGCCTCTGCGTGAGCCCGACGCTGTCTGGTTCCATCTTATTTCATGCTGATGCACCGAACGACCTGTGGGGGAGTGAGAAAGGCTCCTATGCAGTTGTTCGTTTGGATATGTGGCCAGACGGGGCAACTGTGCGGGTCGATGAAACATTGGGGATGAACCATTAGCCTGAAAGGTAGCAGCACGAGGCGGGGCAAGTTTCAAGGTGGTGGTGGTGGCACTGCTGGTGGTGCCGACGGTGGGCGTGGTGGGCTTGTGGGTGGCATCGGGATGAGGGCAATAAGGGCAATGTGAGCAGTGGGGGCAAGCAGAGGAAGGACCGTTGGCAGTAGCCAGCAGCAGTGATGCCTGAAGGGAAACCACCATTGCCTTGAGCTCCTCCAATGACTCTCGTGAGTGAACCAGCTCCTCCTGCCATGCAGAGGGAGCGGAAAAAGGCGAGCTAGGGTGAGAAGTGACAAGGGAAGGCGAAAAAACAGAAGTGAATGAGGTCCCACAGTAGCAGGGATACACATGAGTGACACAAGAACAGCAGCAGCAGCAGCGGCGGCGGCAGCGGCGGCAGCTGCAGCAGCAGCAGCAGACAAAGAAGAAAAAATCCAGCACACCTGGATCTGGTGCAGGCCGGGCTTTGGCTTGGTGAGTGGCTTTGGAGTGGTGAAAAGGACTTCATTCTCCCCTAGCTGTTGCAGAAGCTGGTGAGAGAGTTCCTCCACAGCTGGCACCGAACCAGTCAGGCTTTCCTCTTGGTCTGGGCTGCCTGTTGGTGAGTACGGCAGCACCTGGTGACGCAGCGCAGAAGTGGGAGAGAGTGGGTTAGGATCAGCTGGCACAAGAGCGGTTGAGGAGTTCTGGATGTGCATTTCAAGCGTCACTTGCTCCTGCAGCTAATCGGGGAAAGAGCTCATTTCAGGAAACAACCTTCCCTAAAAGGCCCACCCAGCTCACCTGCGTGGAGTGGCGGCGCTGCAGGATCATGGCGAGCGAGATGTCATCAATGCTCTGCCCCTTCACCTGCAGCACCCTCTGCGGCGCCGCCACCGCCCCCGCCCCACCCGCCGCCATCGTCTTCGCTCTTTCCACCTCCGCAGCCTTCCTCCCACAAAACCCTCGCACCACTGCCGTTTTGGCCCGGCGCTGCAGCGAGCGGTACCGCTGGATGCGGTGCCGTGCCTCGTCCGCGGCGAAGTCGCGCGCGCCGAGCTGCTGCAGGCGGTGCAGGATGGAGGAGTAGGAGGCGTAGCGCCCCGTGAGGCGGCAGAAGAGGTACCGCACGATGGTGCCCACGTCCTCCGCTATGGATGTTGCTAGCTCTTGGGTCTCCTGGTAGCAGCAAGCGAGGGGGGTGAGAGAGGCAAAGGGATCGAAGGGGTTGATGAGACTGAGGGGGATTAGTGGGAAAGGGACGGGGTTGAGTAGAGGGCTCAAATGAGAACGTGAGTACGATTGAAGACCAGAAATGGCAGAGTGAGAGTACGATATTCCTTAATGGTCATGACGGCCTTGACTGACCTTGATGGTCACGACGGCCTTGACTGACCTTGATGGTCATGAAGGCGTCGACGATGATGGCGATGAGGAAGTTGAAGAGGATGAAGACGAGGAGGAGAATGAAGGCGATGAAGAAGAGCATGCCTGCCACCAGGTCCCACCCGTGCATGTGTGCAAAGAAGTAGGCCGTCGCATTCTCGTTCAGGATGATCAGGAAACACGCAAACAGCGCGTCGGGCAGCGTTGCAAACTGCACAAGTGACGTGGGATTAAAAATTTCCAAAGAAAAAAAAAGTAAAAGGAAAAAGGAGGATCGCGAGCCGATTCCATGAAGGCATATACGGGAGTGATGATAGAACACTTGGATTGGAACTGCTCCATGGTATTCGTACATCGTAGTCGTAATCGTAACTGTAGTCGTAATAGTAATGGTAATGGTAATGGTAATGGTAATGGTAATGGTAATAGTAATGGTAATGGTAATGGTAATGGTAATGGTAATGGTAGTGGTAATGGTAATGGTAGTGGTAATGGTAATGGTAGTGGTAATGGTAATGGTAGTGGTAATGGTAATGGTAGTGGTAATGGTAATGGTAGTGGTAATGGTAATGGTAGTGGTAATAGTAATGGTAATTAGAAATTAGAAGTTTTCATGCTCCAATGATCACCTGCTCCATCTTGGCGCCGAAGACGAGGTAGCCGTAGAGGGAGAAGCAGAAGAAGACGACAAAGGCGAGCAGGAAGAAATGTAGTAGCGGGGGCATGGCGAGGGCGAGGGAACGAGTGATGACGCCCAGATAGGGCTGGAAGTCCATCAGCTTGAGCAGCCGCACCATCAGGAAGAAGAGACTAGGGGGGTGCAGCAACCAATGTGGACAGAAGGGGAGAGAAAGAAGTTCTTAGTCTAGACACTGGGATCAAGGCAGGACACTGGTACATTAGGAAAAAACACGAACCCAAATGTGTGTGGGGAGAGGGGGGGGGGAAGAGGGGGAGGGGGGGGGAGGGGGGGGGGCCACTTTTGAGCCCAGAATGGCTTGACCCGGCAGGTCAACAAGAGCAGCACACTCACTTGACGCCCTGCAGGGCAAAGTAAAAGGAGCGCCAGTTGATGAGCGCCTGGAGGTCCTCGTACTCCTGCATGGCCGCCTTGAACCCCTCTCCACTCCCCGCCACCTGCCAGTACCGCGGCATCTCCAGCAGCGACTCATACACATCATATCTTGGGTCCATGTCATTAGTAGCCACAGCCCGCCAGAGCACAATCCAGGTGATGAGAGCGAGCCACTGCAGGAGGAGAGAGGCGAGGTCGATCCAGTTCCAGCCGGAGCGGAAGTAGCTGAGCACGGACCCCTCTCGCTTCACTCGCCCCCGCAGCTCCACCGCCTCCTCCACCCCGTTCCACAGCAGCGCCAACACGTACACGGCTTGCAGCAGCAGCAGGAAGACCGAGGTGAGGGATTGGGAGTACATGTCGATTGGCACGGAGAGCGAGGAGAAGGAGGTGACGAGCCCGCCGCCCGTGTCGACCACGGCTGTGACGCGCGTGAGGACAAATGTGCTGCTCTCACCTGGTGGATGACAGGGGTGGACGGGTGGATTGGTGGGCGGGGAAAGACGAGAAATGGAGGGGGATTAGCATACGAAGGCCCATTTTAATGCCATGGTGAGTTTTCCAGTCAACTCAGAGGGCACCGAGGAGGGCATGGCTCACCGTTGTGGGTGATAAAAGAGACCTCCAGCTTGCGGGTGGCATTGTCAATATACAGCCCGTCCACGAGGTACTGCAGGCGGTTCTCCGCTCCCCGGTGGTCCAAATTGATGTCAAACACCAGCGGGTAGCCCTCCAACCCCTCCTGCGTATGTGGCATGGAGTGTAACACGATTTTCAGGTGAGTAATACGTTTCACGATGATCAGCCCATCCACAAATGCGCACATGCACATACGCAATTTCCAAACCAAACAATCTCTCAAACAGCAGAAACGGGAGCAGGAGCACAGATCAAGGGAACTTGGTCTGGCCAAGCAGGCTTACCACGGGGTACTCAAATCCATACGGCAAGCCTTGGGGGTTCAGTACTGCATGCTCACCACCAGCACCACTGGCACTGGAACCGGCACTAGCACTGGCATTCGTGCTCTGGAGCAGGGTGGAGGCAGCTGCTGCAACGGCTACTGGGTCATAGAGGGAGGAGGAGGGCAGGAAGTGCGGGTTCACTCCAAAGGGCTCCCTGGATGTGCCGTTGCTGCACCACCCCGCCAGGTGCAGCAGGCTGGGGAGGGAGGGCAGGGGTGAGGGGAAGAGGTAGAAGGATGGGTATGGAGGGGCAGTGGGAGATACGAGAGAAGTGTGCATGGCACAAGTTACAAATGTTGGGATCACGGTTGGAATCGACCAGGCAAGAAACAATGGTTGGAATCACGAGTGAGATATCCACCCCTGATTGATGCCACGCCATATAGCCACGCTTGAAACCGGCAATAGAGTAAAGAGAAGGAACGGAGAGGTGCTGCCGCTAGACAAGGGGTTTGGAAGCGTTCTAGGAGCGTACTGGTCTGGGTTGCATGTCTTCACTCCCCATCGCTCCTGGTAGAGGAATATGCCGATGAGCAGCCTGGGAAAGGAGGAAGACAGGACGAAGGATCAAGCAATGCTTGCTGACATTTATGATCAGTTGTTTCCCCCTATCAGAGGTTGTTCAAGGTGATTGGAAACAGGACCAGCTCTGGTGAACACAGGGGGTGAACACAGGGGGAAACCCACTCGATACCAGCGAAGCGGGACACTGGGGGTGAAGTCTCCATGTTTGACTCGATGAATTGGGCCACAAGAAGTGTTTGAGAATATCGTGAAGTCTCAAGAAAAGGCCTCTACCTGTTGTGTTGCCCCACAAAGCGAGTGAGCGGCGCGTTCCTCTCGGCAGCAAAGGCGCGGTTGCTCTCAGTATAGTTGGGGCCATAGCGCTGCAGCGAGAAGGGGAAGTGCAGGTCTCGGCCCACTGCAGACGACATGCAGCACGCTGATTGTCGAGAACAAGGGTTTTGGAGAGTGTGTGTTGGGGAGAGGTGAGAGGTGGGAGGTGGCAAGGAAGGGCGGGTTGTGGTGGCGAATTGGAACAATAATTGAAGGATGGTTGACTGTAGCACAGGAGCGAGGTGTGGAGGGCAAGAGCAGTGAACGAATTTAGCGTAGAGGAGGGGAAAAAAGCAAACGATAACAAAAGCAAACTAATACAACGCCAAACAACCCACTGCCTGCCTCAACCCTCCCTTGCCTCACACATCTCCTCTTGCTGACTCGCCTCCACTCCATCCATCTTCCCCGCTGCCTTCACCCTCCCTGCCCAGCCCCTAGCCACCCCCCAACAGCACACCAACCACCCCTCCCCCCAACCCCCCACAGAACGCCCCCCCCTCTTCCCCCCCTTCCCCCTCCCCCCTCACCTCCATCGTGGCGACGCGCGTGGCCGGGCGGGCAGGCGCAGAAGCCGGGGCCGAGCACGGAGTCAATGCAGCCGCAGTCACCGCCGTCAAAGGTGCAGGCGGGCGTGTTGCAGGGAGGATTGCACACCCCGTCCGCCAGCATGTGCATGGAGCACCCGGGGGAGCACTGGAACGCTGGGTCTGACGAGCGAGGGGAGGAGGAAGGGGGGTGGGGAGGGTTGGGAGTGGGTGGGAAGGGGTGAGAGGTGGGTGGGAGTGGGTGGGAGGGGAGGGGTTGAGAGGAGGTGGGAGGGGGTGGGCGTGTGTGACAGGCATGCGGGCGAGTAGAAAAAGTGTGGGACATGGAAAGAGTGGAATGTGGAAAGTGCGGGAGAAGATGTGTGCTGGTGGCGGTTCAGAATCAAACAAATGCTTGCCGTGCTTGCAGGTACGCCTACCTGGGGCCTCAGGCGGCGGAACGAGCACAGTGACCATGCCAGACATGGCGGGCGGCAGGAGAGCACCACCCGTGGTGGACGCAGCAGAGGCAGCAGAGAAAGCGGAGGAAGAAGAGAACGCGGAGGATGCCACTTCGCCCGCGTCCTGCCCACCGCTCTCATAGTGGTATGTGCCCGGTTGGGTGAACACCTTGGTGTATGTGAACGTGGCGTTGGTGGCCCCTGGGAGCTCTGGAAGCAAAGCCCGAGGCGGATGAGGAGGGAGGGTTCGGGGGTGGAGAATGGGGAGTGCAGAGATATTGACAGCAGAGGGGTTGGGTGAATCCTGTGGTGTATGCAAAGTGGTGACATTGGGGTGGATGGGAGCGGTGGGTGGGTGGTACTCTTGAAGCCGCAGAGGGGCAGGTGCAGATGCTACAAGCTTGGAACGAGCAAAGGGCAGAAGGCACTCAAGGTGGGACCGGGGAATTGGCATGATGTACGCTGCATGCAGGGGAAAGGGGGGATGGGAGGAAGAGAGCGCATGACGTATACAGCATGCAGGGAAGGGAGGGGAGTGGGTGTGACGTACTTTAGGTAGTGCACAGCACTCACGCAGCACTCACGCAGCACTCATGCAGCACTCACGCAGCACGCAGCACTCACGCAGCACGCAGCACTCACGCAGCACTCACGCAGCACTCATGCAGCACTCACGCAGCACGCAGCACTCACGCAGCACGCAGCACTCACGCAGCACTCACGCAGCACGCAGCACTCACGCAGCACGCAGCACTCACTCAGCACTCACGCAGCACACGCCACACAGCACACCGCACTCGGCACTCACTTAGCACGCAGGGCACGGGGTCGTCGTCCTCCCCCATGGTCAAGGGCGAGCAGGGGAAGAGGCGACACCGCCAGGCAGAGAGGGGGAGAAGGGAGGGAGAGGGGGAGAGGGTGTGGCATGACGTACGCAGCACGCAGGGCACGGGGTCGTCGTAGTCGTCGTCCTCCCCCATGGTCATGGGCGAGCAGGGGAACAGCCGCGACACCGCCAGGCGGTGCCCTCCAAACCCCGGGAAGAAGGGCGTCGGCGCATCGCCCATGCCCGCGACTGGGAAGGTTGCGGGCGTTGGGAGAGGGAGAGTAGAGGGCGAGTAGGAGTGAGAATAGGGCGTATTGGATGAGCATGGGACAGACCAGCAGAGGAACAAGAGAAGCGCGTGAAGCAGCAGAAAGGGCGGGCTTACTTCTGAGGGAGTGCGGGAGGTCGTCATCCCACACCCAAGTGACCTTGTCGCCCACATGGATGGTCGTGTTGTGCTTCACTCCCGCCCGCCACTGCAGCCACGTGCCTCCTGCATGATGGGGAAGGTAGGAAGCACGATGACAGGTCGAACGGGCCGAAGCAAAGGGAGGAAGATCACGATGCGAAGTGAAAGGACGAAGGGGCAAGGAACAAGAACGGAAGGATGAGGTGGTGCAGCAGTGTGGTGTACCTTACACAAGGTTCTGCAGAAAAGGGAGCAATACTGCTCATGTGTAAGAGAATCACCAAAGCTGGCAGAAACACTCACCTTGGGAGCAGCCAGCGATGTCGGTGCTGACGATGGCGTCTTCAAAGCGGTGGAAGAAGGCGAAGAAGGTTGGCAGCGGCTTGTGGGGGCATGGTGGTGACGGACTGCTATGCCTCACAAAGACAGGAGCTCACCTTGTGTGCAGCCGTCACTGCTAGCATCTCACCTTGGGAGCAGCCAGCGATGTCGGTGCTGACGATGGCGTCTTCAAAGCGGTGGAAGAAGGCGGAGAGGTCGGCAGCAGCTTGGGGCGGCATGGTGGTGACGGACTGCAGGGCGGCGATGAGAATGTCTATGAAGCGCCGCAGCTGCTGCGATGACACTGCCTTGTCGTTGCTGCCATGCCGGCGCAGGGGGGGTGTGGCAGGCAGGGGAGGGAAGGAACAGGGGGGATATGGGGAATGCGGCATGACAGAGGAGGGGATGGAGGAGAGGGACAGGGGGGACACGGTGCAAGAACAAGCCATGGCAGTGATGGATGGGGCAGTGAAATCACTGTGGAGATTATGAGGTCAGGTCAGCAGCACTCACACGCCGCGGTGCACTTGTTTCAGGTGGTCAAACAGCTCCTGTGCGCGCAGCAGCTGCTGCCCCGTCGAATTCGCAAACCGGCACAGTGGCTGCTCGAGCACGGGCCCGCCCAGCAGCGTGCAGAGGAAGGCGGTGAGGCGCAGGCGGTAGCGCACGGAGAGGCCGAGCATGTAGGGCCCGGCGAGGCAGCTGTCCTTGACCATGGTGTAGATGGCCCGGGACACCGCCACCTGCAGCGCTCTCACGCGCTGCTTCTCTGTGGACCCCAGCAGCTCCCACGCCCTTGGCGCCTCTGCCAGGTGTGGCAGCTCTGTGCACACGGAGGGGTGGGTGGGAGAAGGGGGAAGGGAGGTGAGGGGGGAGAGCGCTCTCAGGCAGGCGCTGCTTCTCTGTGGACCCCAGCAGCTCCCACGCCCTTGGCGCCTCTGCCAGATGTGGAAGCACTGTGGGCAGGGATAGAAAGGGGAAGGGGAGGAGAGGGGAGTGGGGAGGGGAGGGGAAGGTGAGCATGGCCACTATCGGGAGGGTGTGCAGAAGAGGAGACGAAGGCCAAGAAGAGAAGTTTTTCCAGGGAGAGGGTGGGAGAGGGGCGGTGGGACAGAGGTGTCAGAACGCCAGCTGAAAGTTGGTATACTGCGATCATGATTACACGGTGAAACTCCCACGTTCTCAACTTCACCATCCGCACTCACGCATGTCAGCAGCCGGACGGAGGACGGGTGGGGGAAAGAAGCTGGAATCCGCAATGGCAGCACTGGTGCTGTTGCCACCGGCGTTGCCACTGACATTGGTGCTGGCCACTGCTGCGTTGCTGCTGGTGATGCTGCTCCAGCCCCAACGCGCCCCACCTGCATTCGCTCCCACAGCAGCTGCCTGTGCAGCATCCACAGCAGCTGCCTGTGCAGCATCCACAGCAGCTGCCTGTGCAGCATCCACAGCAGCAACCATTCCTGGCCCAGGCGATGCTGGTGCAACTGCCTCCTGTGTTTGTCGGCGATCCCTTGCTGCCAGAATAAGAGAGCAAGGGTGATTGGGAGGCATGGGGTTGAGCAGGTCGGGGACAGGCGAGACCAGCGCAGACACTCCACAGAAGCAGGTCACATCTTGTTATGAACTAAAAAATTGCAAGGTTCTCCTCTCAAGGAGCACATTTATTACATGGATTTGACTGAACCACTACCAAACGAGTACAGAAATTAGTACCAGTGCATACCAGTGTGGGAAGGTGGCACATAACAGTGTGGGAAGGTGGCACATACCAGTGTAGGAAGGTTAAACATACCAGTGCATAGAGAATTGGGGAAGAGGGATGGTTTGACAGCAATGATCTGCAGCAGAGGGAGAGGAAGCAAATTGGGTCGATTCAGCCCATGCATATAGACACATTATGCTGTGTCTAAAGGCAGTGAGTTCCCATAGTTGCCAACATTCAATAGTACTGTGTCATGGTATGGTGTGTCTTCATATTCACCTGAAGGCACGACGCAGTGGCGTATTGCAGGATGGTGGGAGGCGATGCTCGGCAGATCTTGACGCAATCCACAAACGCGCCCGCCACCTCCCTTGCTGCCACCTCCCGCCCACACGCAGCGTTCAGGCACATTGCCACGGACTCACAGGCCTGGGAGGTGCAAGGGGTCAGACTGAAAGCCATGTGGATCAAGTCGGTGGGGCACACCACGCACAACACAAGCGAGCACTGATGCAGTTGCATGCGTGCACACGTGCGCACGCACTGGTGCGCGGGCACGAGCGCGCACACACACAAAACAAACATCGTCGGCAGCACACGCAGCCACGGACGGCCACGCACCTGGCGGCACGGATCGCCACCGTCTTGGAGCAGCGTGGCATTCGAATCCCTCCTGGACAAGCCCTCCCCCCCCAGGCACCCGCCCCAGGTAGCCAGCGTAACACTGTTACTCGCCCCCATCGTCACGTCCCCACTCAGATGCCCCAACCCCGGCTTCTGTGCCTGCAGCACGCCTTGCACGCCCCCCATGGGCGCGGTGATGAGGAGAGCCCAGTGGCCGTCGGGGATGTCGAGGGCGAGGGAGAACTGGGCGTGCAGCGCGGGGAAGGGCTGGGGGAGGGCGTGCCAGCACAGCGAGATGGGGCTCTGCATGCACAGGTTCCATGAGGACACCGCCAGGGCTTCACTTGATGAAAATGACGTCGTGAAATGGACCGACACCGACGTCAAGTTCGGGAACGTGCCGCAGTCCGCCTCACAGCCAAAGCGGCCGAAAGCTGGGAACTCCAGTGGCTGGTCGCAGAGGCCATCCCCGCAGGGCGGGTCCTGCCAGAAATTCTCAATGATGCTGTTGTTCAGCCATGCATAGAAGTCCGCCGCTCCTGCAAACCGATTGGACGAATCCGGTGCAAAGTTCTGGAAGGGAGGCGGGGGAGTGGGGTGGGTGTATGGTGTGGTCAGTGTGGACCCTCGGGTCATCACACTGGTGTATGTGGGAAACAAGAGGCGGACAGTGTGGTGGAAGCGAGAAGGGTCATTCTAAGGTGCAATGGGAACGAGAGGGCAAGTAACAGAAGTGGTGGGAGAGCGAAGGGGCTCACGGAGGGGATGAGGACGGAGTGGGCGGCGGTGACTTGGTAGGTGCGGGAGGAGTCGGCCTGCAGATACACCATTGCCACGAACAGCGCCATCAGCAGCACAAACCCGCCCAGCGCGCGGTAGTGCTGCACCTGCGCGCGCAGCAGGCTGACTCGATTGAACACCTCTGCACGCCCCTCAGAAGCAAGGGACACGCGAACAAAACCACACAAGGCACGCCCGGCACAGACACCATGGGGAGTAAGGGGCATTATGACCACGTAAAGCGCTCGAGCAAGCACTGTGAACACACAACCCGAACGCACGTCACACTCGCAGGGATCACGAGGTGCGACCAGCACGCACCTTGCACGACCTCCTTATCGATCTCCTCCAGCTCGTTCGCTAGTATCACATCCTCGTCGTCCCCGTCCTCCCGTATAGAATCCATGTGCGGCAGCAAGCGCGCCCCAGGCTCGCCCTCCTCACCGCCTCTCCCTGCGCCGTAAGCCTCATCCTCGCACCCCCTCTCCGTAACATCACTGTTCTCACCGCTGTCGCCCCCATCCCCTTCATTCCTACTGGTTTCTCTAGATTCGCCCCAGAGCCAACCTTTTCCCAAGTACTGGAAGGTGGAATCGAGGCCATTCCAGGCGTTACCGCTTTTTTGTCGCCAAAATGCTCCCCCATAGCACTCCTGTGTCTTGCCGTTCCTATTATCTCTGCCTGCCTCCTCGCCGATTCTGCCACCATTGCCCACACGTCCCTCTCCCCCGCTGCTATTCTCGATCTGTTTATTGCCGTCGCCCCCCTGAAAACCTCCTGTTTGTCTCGAAGGGTATGCTTCCCTCTGCTCCGCCAGGTGGTTTTCCGTGTAGCTCCCAAACCCACGTTTTGAATCTTCTTCCGCATCCGTTTCCTCCGTACCGTGATCGTGCGAAGAGTTGGATACGGCACGAGGATAAAGCGGTGATTGGCCGAGAGGACTTCGCGACAATATTTTCGCGTCGTTTGCGTCTGGAGAAGCGCTGGCGACAAGGGTGAAGGCAGGAAATGAGGAGGGAAAGTAGAAACGAAAAAGGTTACGAATACAATGGTATACACTTCAACAGACGGAACCTCTGGTCTTGATTGACATTCAGCGGACAGCTTCAATTCAATGCAGGCGGAAACCATAAACATTCCCGGTTCTTAAACAGAAGTCCATAAAACTCCAGTGTCGAACCGCGACGTGAGGATATTTGACAAGCCTGTGTGATGCCAAGTTAAAAGTATCTGTACAGCTAACCCGGAACTATCGGCGAAGGACGAGGAGCGAGCCCACATCTGACGGTTCGCCCGCTCATACGCGCCGAACTTGTCCTCCAGCAGGCTGCGAGAGCGAGTCAGCGACGCCTGCTCCTCCGCTTCTTTCTTCCGTATCCGCGCAATCACCACCGCTTCCGCCATCGATGGAAACGGATATGAGCGACTGTATTGCGAAAAACAGACGCTCAAGCGAAATGGTAACAGCAGCTCGCGATGATACGAATCCTAAGCGAAGCCGCGCAATGCGCAAACACGACTCGTCGATCCCTTTCAGAGAGGCTGGATCTGGTATACATCGGAACAGCTGGAGGTTTCGCGAGACTAGATGACTAGTAAACGCTTCCGACCAACAATGGTTTTGCTGGAGTTCTCGACTAGAAAGAATGCAACATGTGAAAACCCTCGCCAACGATAGAGCTACGGAACAAGAGTTGGGAGACATGGCTGTTCTGTTCATGCTCCTAACTGTCATGCCTGACAACCATAGCATGGCTGACATAGAGGCGCGTGTTGCCTTGTCAGTGAGTGCTGTTCACCTGCAAGCTACAGAGATTCGATGTGTGAGGGTCAGTGAAATGGGGGAGGGAACAGAACTGAGGTTTCTTGTTCTGCCTTCCCTTCCCTAGCCGCCTCAAACAGGATACAGCTAATGCTCGTTTGAGTCCCCCAACTTTGAGAGGTCCTAGGGGCTTAAATCCAATTCCGCAATTTCGACTTACTCGCCTAGTTTCGCCACGGGTATCGCGTGCTTATAAATAACTGGCTTTGTAACAACCTTGTTTTTTACGGAACAGTGTAGGGCTTGCCCAGTTTGTCCCTTGTGCATTCACGAGAGTAACCTCATTTTCGCCCCAATACTATTACAAGAGTACAACATTAACACGTGCTTGTCACAAACAACCACCATCAAACGCACCCCCAATCACACAACCACACCTGGCGAACCAGCATTACAACTCGGAAACACATTTGATGAATTCAAATGGTGCACAAGTCGTGCACACTCACGAGAGGAGCAAATCCTCTCGGCACACCATCACGCTGCTCAAATTGGACTCAGAGCCGCATCCACTCGGCCGCGGCGACATAGCCGCTCATGACGGCCGGAACGCCCGCATCAATGAGCTGCGAGCGCCTAGCGGTCTGGGCAATCCAGTCCGCCGACGGCACCGTCATCTACGCGGGAAGCACACGGCCACGACGACGGGGGGCCTCGGCCTCAGGGGTGGATGCAGCCGTCATGGCGGGAGGCGGGGTCATGTTGAGGTTCAGCGGGGGGCTTGCGCGCTCCATCCGCTCGCGGATGATTGGGTTGCGGATATCAAACAGCGCGCACAGGTCGCGGGGCGTGACGCAGGTCGCCTTGGCGTAGCCAATCAGCATCTCTGTCGCCAGGCGAGCAGTGCGGCGCGCTTCGCACGACGCTGGGTTCGCGTCGTCGTACACCTCCTGCATTGTCGAGGGAGGCGCCCACGTGTCGTGCGTCGGTGCTGCCCTCGGCTCCATTGCGAGGGGATCATCTCCCGGCTCCGCGCAACACGGCTGGTTATCATCCACCGCCACGAAATCCGCTGGCGCCATGGCGCTCGACCCCAGGCACAGGCGGTCGATGAGGAGGCCGACATCGTTGACCTCCCCATCGAGGCCGATGTCGGCCACGGTATCTGGGTCGCGAATAGCCTCGGCGCCGACGTGCGCCAGCTCCATCGCCCACACACGGGGGAGACACCCCGTGCGCCACCAGCACCGCTGGATTGTGCGCGGCGGGATGTTCATCCATGCGTCGCTCAGCCATGCGATGACATCACGGAGGTTCAGCCTGAAGCGCGCCGCCGCTGACGTGGCGCCCTCGGCCGCCCACATGCCGGTAAACTTGCGCAGCCAATGGGCGCGATAACGCGCCTTCGCCATCGCAATCAGGCCTTGGTCGAGAGGCTGCGTGAAGCAGGTCGTGTTGGGCGGGAGGTAGACGATCCGCACGTTCTCGAGCTTGCGGGTGCGGAACCCGAAGAGATCTTCGGTCACGGCCGTGCGAGTCGTGAGAGTGTGGCTGCTGGCGTTATCCATCAGGATGACAATCTGCCTCCCCTCGGCGAACTTCGCCGCGTCCAGCTGCTCGATAAAGTGCGTGAAGAGCTGCGCAAACCGGGGGAGACCGGGGGGGGGGGGCAAATGTAAGAGAAAAATAAGTACGTGCGAGGCCGACAATGTTGCACAAAGTGAAATGCGGGGCAGATTCGGCCGAGAATACAAATCACTCGTTACGCACTGACAACTCCTTACCGCGGTCGTCATCCATCCTTTGGTAGTGGTGCGCCAGTAGCACAGCTCCTCCGGATCATAGTCGGGGCGGAAGTCGTGCGGACGCCGCGCCTTGGAGATTACGAGAGGACGAAACTTCAGCCGTCCGCGTTGACAAGGAAGCCCACGGTGAGGCGCTCCTTGCTGTTCTTCCTTCCCGCCACGTGGCCTGTTCCGTAAGTATTGCGCGGGAGTACGGAGATATACAGTGCCGTCTCATCAAAGTTGAATGTGTCTCGCGGCCGCACTCCCAAGTGCATAAGAAGCTCGGGGAGTTTTTCCTGCGTGGTGCACACGGCCGTCATGTCCTGGTCGGCCGCCTCACCGACCGCGCTCATGCATCTCACGCCCTGGCGGCGTAAGGCGCGGCGCACCCACCCGATGGAACAACGGAAGGTGGCGGGGGCGCCATTTTCACGGGCCATGTACGCCACGTGGTCCCGGATAGTCGCGAGAGTCAGGGGTACTCCTGGCGGCCCCGCCCTCGCAATCCAGCGGGCCATGGCCTGTTCAAGTTCCGGATACGCACCGCCTCGCACACGGACGGCATTGTCGTTGGTGTCGTCGATGCGCCAACGGTCGGCATTTTTCAGAACACGGCCGACAGTGGAGCGGTCGGGGCGCACACCGAAGCGCGTGAAACACCACCTGGCGAGATCGACATGACGGAGCTGGGGGTTTTCAACATGGTGAGCGCAGAGCGCTCGCTTGATGTGCAGACCGAGCTGTGCTCGGTGGTACATACGGGGCATGCTAGGCGGACTTTGAGAGCAAGAAGAGTGGTTGGATTGGTAATTCCAACCACTCTTTATGGTGTTTTGGTTCGTTTGTGTTTAGTGTGTTTAGTTGTGGGGCTTGTATGGATTTTGGGGGCACGGGATGAACGGGGTTAGAATTCGAGGCCTGGTGCTTCAATGTGATGACGTGTCACAATGGCGCAACGTGGGGCTGTGGGGGGGTTTGTACCGCGCAGGTGCAGGTACCAGGTGGCGAGTGATTTCTGGCCACATTCTGTTAAGGGCACCTTCACAGTCTTACGTGGCACACCTGAACCCACCTGCAGGTGGCCGAACGATTGACGAGACTCGTCCATGGATTTCGCGTGGCCTCGCTAAGGCTTGTAACTCTGGCTCTGGGGGGATGGCAGAGTCTGTTTTGTGGTCGAGGTTAACTTTTGGGCGCATTCACGCACTGTTGCCAAGTGGCGTCAGGGGTCTGTACCCACGGTGCAACACCGGGGAAAAAAAGCCAGGGGGCAGAGTTTCTGATGGGTGCAGGGCATTTTCGCGTGCACTGGTTGGGCATCGTCTGTAATCCCCAGGGCGGAACAGCTCTCTCCACAGTCGTTATGTTGGATTCCTCTGTGCGACTTCGGGACTCGTGCGAGATGAGCGAACGGGAAAAAGGTATTCGCTTGTGGATCCTTCATTTTGCGTGCGATGGTTGCGAAAGATCCGCGTCCCTCATTGATATCGTCGGCGCACAATGATAGCGACCAGCAGTATCGAAAGGCCAGATATGCTGACGTGGAAGACACTAGACGGAGCGTTAGCTTGATGACAAGCGACTGTTTGCGCTTACATCTTTATAAAAAGCACACAGTACCAATTGTTATCCTAACCAGGAATTATGAAAACGCATTGCTGGCTTAGCTTTTGTTAGTTCAACCATCCAGATAGAGGCAACAAGGATGTCATATACTTTCTCAAGCATCGCAACATATGCATTCTACAAGTCAGAACAAACTCAATACGGTCGATAGCCTGCATACCCTCCTGCAGGCCCAAAGTCTCGCCTTACCGGCCCTACCCCGCCTCCACCAGCACCACCTGGACCCCCACCACCCATGCCAGGTCCAGCAGCGGCAGCAGCAGCTCCAGGATTTGGAGCAAGCACACCAGGACCACCGCCTTGCCCACCCATCCCCCCAGGCCCACCCATTGCTCCCGGCCCAGGCATCCCCCCAGGGACACCCATCCCGCCAGGCCCACCCATGTTCCCAGGCCCGCCCATTCCCCCAGGTCCGGCCAAGCCAGGGTTGACGGGCGGCGGGAAGCGGATGATGGGCCGCTGTGGGTCGAAGCGGCCGTCCACAGGCGGCTGGCCGGGCGGCGGCATGCGCTGCTGCTGCTGCTGGGGGAACCCTCCCTGCTGCTGCTGCTGCTGCTGCTGCTGCTGCTGAGGATACTGCTGCTGCTGCGGTGGCGGCTGGTGCTGCTGTTGCAAGTACTGCTGCTGAGGCGGGTAGAACTGGGCCTGCTGCTGCTGCTGCTGCTGCTGCGGGTGCTGCTGCTGCTGCTGCGGCGGCTGCTGCTGCTGCTGTTGAAGGAACTGGGGCTGGTACTGCTGGGCCTGGGGCTGTGCCTGCATTTGCGGCTGCATCTGCGACTGCGGGTTCAGGTTGTAGGCAGCAACGGGATACTGCCCTGGCACGCCTCCTATCCCTGGACCCGCACCAACAGCTGCATTGGCAGCAGCAGCCGCAGCAGCGGCGCCAGCACCAGCAGCAGCGGCAGCAGGAGCAGGAGAAGCAGCGGCACTGCCAGGGGCGGCAGCAGTGGAGAGGGGAGCGGGGCTGGCTTGGACTGGCTTGGGCTGTGTGGCAGCAGCAGGGGCAGTGTATCGCTCCACTCTCAACCGCCGGTTGCCCAGTTGATGCTCGTTTAGCGCTGACGTGGCAATGTCCGCTGATGTGGGCGAGTCCAAGTGGACGTAGCCTGGTAGGGAGACAGTAAAGGGCAGGGTGACGTGGCAGATAGAATGCTTAGGTGAGCACGACGAGAGCCGATGTGCTTCTTCGATCCACCATTCACCTTTTACCATGAACTGGAGTTGGTTAACACTTCAAAGGAATCTCCTGGTAATGAATTTGCATCAACCCCCCCACACTCCGCCCCTTTCCCCTTATTGCCCAGATGCAGCGCCGCGCCACTCACCGTAACCCAGCTGCCTGTTGTTGTCGCAGGCCACCTGCACGGCCACCACGGTGCCGTAGGTGCGGAACAGTTTTGAGGAGCCTCAAAACAGGCCACCTGCACGGCCACGGTGGTGCCATGGGTGCGGACCAGCTCCACCAGCTGCCCATGCATGCACATTGCAAGCAAACCCCCACTTCCCACTCCCCACTCCCCAACTCCCCTGCTGCCACTCAACTCACCGTAGCCCAGCCCCCTGGTGCCGTCCCTCGCCACCTGCACGGCCACCACAGTGCCGTACGTGCGGAAGAGGTCCACCAGCTGGCGCTCTGTGTAGTCCTCCGGTAGCCCGTACACCGCCAGGGGCGTCACTGCCACACATGCACACACAGGGGTGGGAGGCAGGGGAGTGTGAGCGCAGCAGGGTTAGAGGGGATGCTGAGTTGACTCAACAGCTCCACCAGCTGGCGCTCGCTTTAGTCCTCCAGTATCCCGTACACCGCCAGGGGGGTCACTGCCATGCACACAGGGGAGGGGAGCACTGGGGGGGCGCATGGGAGAGAGGAGCAAGCAGGCACGAAACGGACGAGTGCGCGAGTGTCAAAGACGCAGCTGCTCCCTGGCTCTCACAGCAGAGTTTCTTGCGTCACAATCCCAACTCACCTCCAGTGCTCTCCTGCTGCTGCTGCTGCTGCTGCTGCTGTTGCTGCTTGTCCACACCATCCTGCTGCTTCTCCCCAGCCGACTCAGCACCACCCGCAACGGTCCCATTGGCAGCAGCAGCACCAGCAGCGGTGGCAGCAGCGGCTGCTTTCTCAGCTTCAGCCTTCTTGGCCTCGGCCTGGGCGAGTTCAGGGGGTTTCTCCCACACAGACGTGTTGGAGGCCGCGTGGTAGTAGAACGGCCGCCCGTCCGGTGCTGCATGCTCCGTCCACCCACACTCCGCCACTGGGTCGTCCCCTCCTGCACCCGCATCACCCGCAGCAACCCCATCAGCACCCGCACCCGCAGCTGCAGCAGGACCAGCGTCAGTGGCGGAACCGCCTGGAGCTGATCCTCCTGCTGCTGTTGCTACTGCTGCTCCCCCTGCGGCCCCAGCTGCCCCGTCTGCCCCCTGCTGCGCTGCTGCCGCCTTTGCAGGCCCACCCACCACAATACCGTTCTGCTGCCCTGCGTGCCCCAGCGCCTGCATCCCAAGCTGCTGCCCCGCCTGCTGCTGCACTCCCTGCTGCTGCTGCTGTTGCAGTGGTACCTGCTGCTGTTGCTGCTGCAGCGCTACCTGCTGCGCCCATGGGGGCTGCTGCGCCGCTGCAACCCCCATAAACGGCTGCTGCCCACCATACATTGCTGCGAAAACAACAGGAGTGGGTGTGAAGGGAAAGTTCCTTGCAAGGAAGGTCAGCGTGAAGGAGATTGTTTGTCGCTGAGAGAATGGTGTAGCGTTGATACGTTGATACAGAGTGACCTGTCGACTCAGAGTGGCCTAGTTGCTGAAACAGCATAAAACAACATCCATTCGTCCCTAAAACACTCACCACTGCTGCTGCTGCTGCTGCTGGTGGTGGTGCTGCTGCTGCCCCACAATGCCCCTCAGCCTGTCCACCTCCCGAGCGGAGGCTTCAAGGGCCCTCTCCGCCTTGTCGCGCTGCTCTGCTGCCTCCATGCCCGCCCGCCTCTCCCGCTCCACTGCATCCCTGCTCGCCCGCACCACCACCAGCAGCACACGCAATGGGAGGGTGGGAGGAAGCGCACGGGAACGGGGAAGGGGGAAGGGGGGGTGGGTGGAAGGCGGGGGAGAAGAGGCGTGCGGAGATGGAGGGTGAGAGAAAGCGCACGGAGAACGGACGGCGCGTGGCTGATAAAGGAAAAACACATGTACACGCAGGTGAAGGCATGTTCCTCAAACTCAAACTAGCAGCTGGCCATCCAAACTACGCCAGACGTTGTTCCGCGCGGCCCTAATTTCCATACATAGGACTCCTCTTCCCCCCTCCCCGCACGTGTCCCCTACTCTGGCGTTCCCCCCAACCAACCCTGTAGGAAAACCACGGAGAAGTTGGAAAACCCTCCAACTGAAGCGCATACGCGGCTTCTTTCGCACTCACTTTTCATCCTTTCTTTCCCCAAACCCCCTCTTTTTTTCCCTCAAACCCCCACCCCTTCACCTCTTTCCCCATTCCCCCCCTCATCTCTCCCACCTTCCCCCTCTCCCCCTTATCCCCTCCGCCCACCTGGCCTGCATCAACTCCTGCCACATGCCCCCAAGGTCGCTCTCTTTTTCCCCCAAACCCCCGTATCTCCCCCTCCCCCTTCCCCTCCCCCCCCCCCACCAACTCCCCCTTCCCCCCGCACCTGGCCTGCATCAGCTCCTGCCGCATGCCCTCCAGGTCGCTCCGCATGCGCTGCATGTCGCCGCCCATCGCGCTCATCTGCCGCTGCATCTCCGCGCGCCCCGCCTCCGCCTCCCCCCCGCGCGCCTGCAGCGCCTGCAGCTCCATGCGCGCACGATGCAGCTCCCCGCGCAGAGGCTCTGTGCGGACCAGAGGGGGAAAACAGAAACGGCATGGAAGTTCCATGGAAACAAAGCCGGCTTTTAAGGCAAAGTAACTCGAGGTGAAACTTAACGGGTTAGCGGGTAGCAACATGCAATTACTTGGGAAAAAACAGAAGATCAATAACAAAAACCCCAAGACTCGCGCCGAAATGTCCTTAATCTCTTAGGGCGTGTTAAATCGCAAACTCCAAAAATTCGGCCACAATCCGTCGGGCCGTTTTTGCGAAGGTAACCAGTTCGCGACAATCGTAATTCCAGTGGCGACAGTCGCAAACTTCGTAAAAAAATAACGAATTTGATGGCCGTTTAAAAGGTCGACACGAAAACGACGCTGAGTCGACTCCAAAGCGGCCAAGTAGTCGACACAGTGTGCGACAAACGACTGCGACGTCGCATGGATTCGTCCAGCGACCAAATTTGTGATCGCGTCAAATATGAAGAATCGCCGTCAAAAGTGCGACCCCGTCGCACATACTAAACTACTGTAGTAACTGCAAATTTAACAACTTTTCCGAACCAGCCTGCAATTCGGCCACCAAAGTTGTTAAATTGCCAAAACTGTTAATTTTGGCTGTTCAAGAGTCGACTCTGATTCGGCCACCTCGTCGTTGTTATATGACGACCATTTGGTCGTCAAAAATTCGGCCACACCCCATTTTCGGAATTGTGTGGCGATTTAACACGCCCTTATACCCACTCACCGACGGCTCTTAAGTCTGCCTCGAGTTTTGCCTTATGCTCCATGATTCCCCGCACTGCCTGATCCTTCTCCATCTGCACCGCCGCCAGCGTCGCTTTCGTCCGTTGGATCTCGCCCTGCGCCGCCGCCAGCTCTTGCCGAAGCGCCACGTGCGTCGCCGCCAGCCGTTGATTCTCCGTCAGCAGCTGCTGAATCTCCCCGTGTTGCGCCGCTAATTTCGCCTCTAAGCTACCCGCGCCCACGGGGAGAAGCATCGTCGGGGGAGGCGGAGCGGGGTGGCGGATAATCACCTGCCCCGGAGGCCCCCCGGGGATAAGCGCAGGCCCAGGGGGGAGTGGCGGGCGGATGAGATGCGGCTGCGGGGCTGGCGGGGTTCCTCTTCCCCCGACGACAGCCATGGGCCTTCCTCGACCCGCCATGAAACGATAATTGCGGAGTTATGAAATATAAAGTACCTACGGACAATGAGCGAACCCTCGTGACACTAGGAGGGCTAAACGCTGCGGACACCCATGTGTTTGACGGAGCGAACGCTACGTGAAAATAGGTGTCTAATTGCTCCCTCGAAGATCCACGGAAATGATCGTAAGAACGGAAATGGGCATGGAATGGAAACCTAGCTGGTTCAAAATTGAGCCGTTGGAGGCGGCATAGGGAGGGACGTGCTATCGGATCAACTTGTTAGAAACATCCACTATTAGCACGGTGACGGCTGTAGCAAAACAAAACATTCTGGATTAAGAAAGCAGCTGTATAGGTTTCAAATTGTATTAATCCGATGCAAAGGCCTAATGTAGTCCAACAATATTGAAGACTTACTGCATGTCATCTACCTAGATTCGTATATTTAGATCATAAATATTTCTCCATGTAATTTTCATCCAAATCCTCGGTCTCTTCGTCGCTAGTCTCTTCAATTGTGATGGAGTACCATTTCTTAGACTTGTTAGGCACTGCAGCCTTGACCGGGTAATCTTTCTTTGCTTTCTCCCTCTTGTCAACTGCCCGCTCCGTATCTTCTCCAGTTGAACCACTGGTGACCACGGAATTTGCCTTGCCCTCCAACTCTTCCTCTGACTGCTTGTCTAGGGCAGGTGCTTTTGCCGGTCGTGGCTTTCTGGGCCGTTTGAATCGTGGAACCAGACCTAGCATCCGCGCCACCTCGTGTAATCCTCCCCACTTCTCAAAAGTCCTCGCCAAGTCTCCCCTCCCTGAAAGCACAACCATAACATTGAAGAAGAGGTGCTTAATAAGCCTGGCGAAACAAACGAAGGCTCGATGATGACACAGACGCATCACGAGCTACACGTTGAGTGGCCAGAAATACTGACCGTGCTTCTGTAGCAGCATGCGTGACGGCATCTTGTTGTGCGGAAGGTTATGATCCATCTGAAACTGAAGGACCTGTCGTGAAAAGGAGAGAGCGAAAGAAAGGAAATTTAGTGTGAACCCAATGCACAAACCTCAAACCTCCCCACAGTTGCCGAACCTGTCGCCCGCATTCTCACCTCCTGTTTCAGATTCGCGAGGTCATCCCAGTACCCTCTTGGCTTCCGTGCCACTTGCATGTTGAGTTTTTGGGCTACTGCATGCACGCCCCCTGCAAATTGAATCTCTTTCTCTATATCCGATCTCCGGGCTGCCCGCAAAATTCCCCGTGTCGGCATTGTGCCCGGCTCCAGCCCCTGCTCCTCACAGAACCCTTCCAGCTTCTCTTTCAACCTGCCCAAATCAACAACTCTAACCTTCACTCCCTTCTCCCTCTTCTTCCTCCCACCCCCCTCCCCATCCCCTCCCTCCTCTCTCTGCCACTCACCCACACTCTCCAGGCCCGTCAAACCCATGCTCTCCCCCATTATCTCCCCGCCACCGTTCCACTGTCCCCCACTAAGCTCGTCCGTCCACAGAAGATCCAGTGGTTGCTGAACGGACGCCAGACCCACAGCATACGGCAGCCCCGCCTGCTGCTGCTCCGCGAATGCAAGCCCTGACAGGTCTGGCTCGCGGCCCTGCACTTTTGCTTCAGTTTCCCTCTCAAGCTCACGCTCACGATCATGACCCGCCCCTGCCCTCCACTTGTCCGTGTCATCCCATTCCACTTTGCCGTTAAACTCCTCTTCGTCTCCCCACTTGCCGTCGCCTCCCCACTTCTCTTCCTCTCCCCACTTGTCCCTCCACTCTTCTGCAGCGCCCCAGTCCTCCGCATCGCTCCAGTCATCTCGTCCTGCATCGGGCCACGTCCGAGCCTCATCATCCGTCCACACATCATCCATCCCTCCGCCTTCCCCCATGCGCATCAGCTCAAACACTTCCTGGTCCTGCAAACCACCATCACCCACCAACACTCCGCCCAACCCATTGCTGTTGCTGCTGCTGCTGCTGCTAGCACCGCTGCTGCTGTTGCCACTACCTCTGCTGCTGCGGCTGCCACCCACGCGGAAATCAAACCCAACCAGCCCGTGCAGGTCCTCCCACTCCTCCATTCCACGAATACTCAATTCCTGCCCTGCATCGCTCCCCTCGGATACCGAACCTGGCATTAACGCGGCTCTGGATTCCGACCTTGCCCTCCTCTCACCGCCGCCGCCGCCGCTGCTGTTGCTGCTGCTGCCAGCGCCACTGCTTACCCGATCCCCTGTCCCTGTCACGCCATCTCGCGACGTGCTCTCCTCCCCAATAGGCCTTTTCCATTTAAAGCTCCGCCTTCGCCGAAAATACTTCCTGTCTTTGCTTATCGGAACCTGCGACTTTTTCACCTGGTTCTCCAGGTCCCGTTCCGCCTTCTCCTTCCCATTCCCCTTCTCACGCTGCATCTCCGCATTCTTTCTGCTGCGCTGCCTCTCCTCTTGATCTCCGGCCCGAAGCGACACATGTTTCTGCGAGAGCTTATCCGGACCTGAGTCTAGCAACTCATCCAGCCCGCGGGGCTCGCGCGGCTGCCTGTGCGACGAAGCGCGAACGGACGAATAAATCACGACGGAGGCGCTGCAGGGAGGTGGACATGGCGCGAGGGGGTTGTTAGAAGCCGAGGAGATGGAGACCCGTAATGCGGATGTGGATTTGAGAATGAACAGCGAGTGGATCGAAGGCAGGAAAGAGGTGCTTGCCGCCATGACAAGTTAGAGCCCGAAAGAAGTGTACAGGTGGGGAATGCATAGGGTGAGTTGTACATCTTCGTTATGCGCTGAAGGACTGCTCAAAAGGTATATCCACTATCTATAAGGCATGTAGGCAAGACATGCAACAGTAGGAAAAAAACATTTCTCTTCATAACTTTCCAACCGCTATGAGTTCTTTTGCCATGACGTTATTCTTCATTTAAATACACTCTTTGATTGTTATTGAGCACACCACACAACTAACTACTCTACACAAAATTGAACACTCCACACACTGTAGATCTGAGCCCACGCAAGGAAAACGAAAACAGAAATAGCGGGCCCAGTATCGTTCGCATCTGCGATCTTGCACAATCGCAACAAGAATGGCTTGCGCCATCATCCTGCGATTGCCTTCCAAGTCGAAATCCAGTCGCAATGGGCGCATGACAGCTATGGAGTTGAAAGGAGGTCGGCGCAATGGCGAAACATCATCAACGTTAGCGCGAACAGGAACCGCCTCAAAAATTGGCACACTCGCGCTTCAGAGCGGAGAAAGCAAGACAGCATCTTCTCCTCGCCACAGCAGCACAGCATGCCTTGATAGTGGGAGAAACCAAGGTGCGGTGCGGTCACTTCCAGATGCAGAAATCAGCGCAACATTCAGGATGAAAGGAGCTAGACTTGGGAAACCACCTCGGTTCGTTTCACAAAGCGCCCCTGCAACCAGAGAAAAAATAGCTACTGTTAGAACAAGAAATACTGCGTAAGAGGTGCTAACAATGAAACTTTCTTCCACATGGAGCAGAACTTACCTGGATTGATTGCCATGCATGAAGGGCAAAAGCACTGTACCTTCACACGGGGCCGCTGGTCGGCGTTGACCTTGCGCACTTCATATCGGATCTTCTTGGAGAAGAGGCGGTTCCTGCGCTTCTCCCGGTAGCGCAGCACACGGGCCTCCCTGCCCTCGCTGGAGAATGGCTCAAATGTGTCACTGTCCATCGCAGGCTGCTGCATGAGAATGTCTTCAGCAGACCCATGCAATGAAGGAGAGGCTGTGGCGAGGCCAGGGAGGTGGGCAGGCTGCAGAGCAACAAGAATTGGAGAGGAATGGGGAAATGCTCGTGAGAAGCCCGTAGTGCAGGGGATTGTTTATGTTTCATGAATGGAAGGTGACTGAGCGGCTGATGTCTGTAAGGCACACAAAAGGCTGTGCATGCATACATTTAACCTTCGCCAGTCCCGAGCGTCCAGGCTTAAAGTCTGCTTCTTCTCCTCTCCTCTGTGCATTGATCCGCTAGACACAGTGACTCTGTAACTAGTGCATTTCGTATTTTTTGTTCCTCATTGTCCCATCACGTGTGCATCCCACTCTCTTGTACAATTGGGGCACAAGGCCTTGAATGTTCACTTCAGCACTCAGATTGTACCACGCCAATGAGAGGCGGAGTGAATGGCAACGTTTCCAAATAGGGAGTTTGAAGAGACAGGAACGAGGGAAAGGGACGCACAAGGGAAGGGACATTTATCTCACCAGTGGGCGATTAAGGCTGTCGCGCTTCTCTGCACTGGCGCCCTCCTCCTCTTCCTGCTCAATCCACGGCGACTGGCCTTCGGGTGCCTGGTCCGACCACGCGCTAATCACGTCCTCGTAGTTCAGACGCAGGCTCGGCGACTGCTGCTGCAGCTCCTTCCGGCTGCCCAGCTTCACCGCCATCCCTCCCTCCGCGCCAGCTCTCCCCCCGTCCGCGCCTTCCGCTGAAGGGCCGCCGCTGCTGCTTCCGAACACGTCGTCCGCGCGGGGCCGCTTCCCGAGATGCGTCTGAGGGGGGATTAGCGCGGCCGCGCTCTCGCTGGTTGCACCACTGGCATCCCATGTGGTGGGGGAGCCTTCAAGCGGTTCCACGTCGACCTCGCTCTCCGCTTCAGCAGACTCGTCCAAGGCCCACCCTCCCACGAACCACCCCTCCGTCTCGCCCTCCTCCTCCCCATGACTGATAATAAACTCCTCAAAACCCTGCGTCTCCAGCTTCACCTCCCCCTCCCCTTCCCTCTCGGCTTCTCTTCCGCTCGCACTCTCTCCCGCGCCGCTCGCGCGCAACGCCCCTCCGCCGCAGCCGCTGCTGGAGCTTGCGCGGCTGAACGACGGCGTAACCGTCGCATCGCCGCTGGTCTTCGGCTCACTCGCGCCAAGTCTGGCAGGCAGCTGCGTCTGTTCCGCACAATGGTGGTGGGGAATCTGAGGAGCGTCGGGGACTTCTCGTCCGGTGCGCCCGTCCACTACTGGCGTGCATTCATCCGCTTCATCCACGAAGAACCGGTCCACGTCATCAAATGACAGGATATCCAAGAAAGCATCGTCCGCCGTCCCTTCCGCCGGCCTTCCGCCGACTCCCCCCTCCGCTTCCTGCTTCACTTTGCGCTCCGCGCTCCCAGCGACAGCCGTTGCCCCTATCGGCGGAAACTGTACGCCGCTCCGCTTTTGCTTCTTTGAAGGGCGCGGGCCCCGCATGCTTTCCCCCAAATGTGGGTGGTGCGGAACGGCTGCGTAGTCCCCAGGATGCCCCATATACTCGCTAGGAGCAGCTCCCATATAAGGCATTCCCATATGCGGTCCGTACATGGGACCCCAGGGCCCAGGAGGGTAAACAACGCCGGGGAGCGGAGGCGGCGCAACCCAGGGGTGGGCGTAAGGGGCCATGTGCGGCGGAGGAATGTAGGGAGGGATCATACCGGGGCCATAAGGAGGCATAGGCCGTACCCCTTGCGCGGAACAATCGTCCGGGCGCCAGTAGCAGTGCGGGGGAGGGGGAACAGCGGAAACACCCCGCGGAGAAGCTCGAGAAGCATCCGAAGCTCCGCAAGGCGTAGCAGAAGCGGAGGTTCCTCTTGGAGCTGCGTTAGACGCGGGGCCGTTACGCTGACCGTTGCAGGTTCGTCCTCCTTGTGTCGGCGGGACGATCGGCGCGCAGTGCGGAGAGAATGCTGGCTCCCAAGTGTGAACTTGAGGCTCCGGCTTTGCGATAGCACCAATTTTCGCTTTGGCTGTCCCGGTACCTTGCTGTTGTCGCTTTCTCCCTTCTCCCGGTGCTACTGATGCTCCTTGCACAATCATTTCCTCCTTGATAGGTAATCGGGGCCTGGAGGATTTCAGACCCGCAACGTTGGTCACAGTAGAAGAAGCTGTTGCGTCGGTTGTTGGGGAGTTTCGCATCGTCGCAACGATGCCTGATCCCCGAACCATCGCAGGCAACTCGGAGTTTCCGTTACCGTTACCATTACCACCGGCGCGACGGAAAATTTTCACTGGAGCTCCGTTAGGGCCCAATCTGACACGCTCGTGCCGCTGAGAAAGAGGATTGGCTCCATGGACGAAACCGTCGCACACGTCGCAGATGTACGCGTCATCAGCTGCGCAGTAGAGCGTCGCAGGCTCGGTTACGCACGAGTCGCACATTCGCTTCGGACGAGGAAATGTCGGAGCGGTGATAGAGACAGAATCCAGATAAGTCTGAGACGAAGCCATTTTCTCTGCCTGCTTCTGTTGTGGCTGTTCGTGCGTCTTCGTCTTGTGCTTTACAATCTCTGCCTCGGATGGCGATAGTGTAAGTGATAGCTTAGGCTGCTCAGGCTTCTGAGAAGCAGACTTCCCTTTCAGGAATTTCCCTGAGGGAACAGATTTAGGAATTACTGCTGCTTGAGTCATGGCTCCCTGAAAACAATAAGGGATGTTTTGAGATCCCTTGAATGTCACAGATGCCAACTGGTAGTTGATGTCTTCAATGTGCTATGCCAGACGGATAAGAGGGAGAAACGTGACTCTGCTTCCTCAGGTGATGCTGCTGACTGGAGATTCAGCATCAACAAATTGGGAGAGGGCAGCTTGAAGCAGACTCCAGTCCAGCACGGCAGGCAGAACGGAGGGAGTCCCTCGTGGATAAAGTGTTCCTTGGCGAATGGGAGGAACTCAAGACTCGCTTGGGTCCTTCGGGAAAGCTCGCTGTGGTGGTTGGTCTGCTGGACTCTGGTGCCACCACACCTCGTCGTCTGTCCTTGTTTGGCTGGGAATATCCTTCGGAAGGATCAGGCCACTGAGACGGTGGTGGGAATATGATTGGTGCAATTGGTTCTGCCCAGAGCTCCAACGGATGGACAAACTGGCTTCGGGGCTTCCCTATCGCAAAACACATGCGACCTGCAGCCATTTGATCCACCCACACCACTTCGCTTTATGATCCCACGGGCAGATCCTGAAGGTCAGCTACTCACATCGTCGGTTCGGGAGTTGCATGCGCACTAACCACCTCTACTGTACACACTTATCCCCCAATCAGTGATGCTGCCGAGCCTCCCTGGTTTCGGCTCGGTGATCTAATCTTTCTGGCTGGCGATATTGAAGCGCCCCGCCTCGCAATTGGTTGGCCAGGACGAATGTGAAGAGCGCTTTGGAGAAGAGCGACCCGTCGCTGGATGGTGGAGCGCGAGACCACAGTATGCTGCGAAACGCGAACCAGTAATCCACCCACACTGCGTCAGCAAGCTCAAATTCCTTGGGACTCTCAAGTGGCTGTGCGTGCGTGCCGCCAACAGCTTCAATTCTTCACCGTTCGTTCTTCCCATCAACCAAAGAACTCGCTCGGGGGAGCCCAAGAGGCCAGGCAGTGCAAGCTCTCCTTCAGAATTTTGGTTTTTTCTGGTCAGTGTGAGATTCTCTCAGTAAATGCTGGGAAGGTCTGCTCCCTCAAGTTTCGACAACGATCAGAGTGTTCTAGGTGTGATTACCCTATGGAGTGTGACAAGGTGTACCTTGGAGAAAACATGCTTCAGGGCATCCACAGCAACAGGTGGGGCGTCTACTATTGTACCCCAGGATTTGAGGATACTTGATTCTCTCGCTCACTTCGAAATTTGTGTGTGCAACAGCTGTAAAGTAATCCGATAGCATATATGCATCAGCAAAACGGGCAACACTCAAAATAGGGAACCTCTAAGCATTGCAATATCTAAGGTTGCATTCCCGGTCGGGACACCATCCGAAGTAGTGACACGCGGCTAGCAATTTCGAAAATCGACATTTCAATGTTCGGCCACGCGGTTCGAGATCGGGACACTTTAGGACCTGACGGTTTAGGGTACGTGCGACCCTTTGCTCATTCTGTGCGATCTTGGCTTTTTAGGGGCGTTGCAGTGCATTGGAGCTGACTTGGCGCTAACGTGCCAGGCAGCCGGCTACATGTAAATGGTCCTGCCCGCGATTCCAATCGGGCACCCCCAAGTCGAAAAAGTCAATCGGCCTTTTCATTTTTTACACAGCCCGACTGCCAGGTTCTGCCGTTAAAATTGGCGCTCATTATGTTGTCGCTTCTCGTCGTTTTATGACACCTCGACACCCCAATTGGTTGGTGACCCCCCAAAAAATCGCAACATGCAAACGACGCGTACGACCCCGATCGCATACCGAACACTGACAAATGTCAGAGGTGGGGCCCTACCCCAATAGGGACACCATCCGCACGCCAAAACCGTTCAGATGGGCAAACTTCGGATGGTGTCCAAACCGGGAATGCAATATAAGCTTAGAACATCACATCCATTCTTACCTTCGTACCATTTAGCCATTACAAGACAACTAACATCTATGAGCCTTCGCTTTTGATGCTGACACATCACCTTGACGGATATTCAACAACGTGTAACGCGTCTGCTTTAATCATAAACGGTACTACGGTAACCTACCCTGATTCATATGTACACATGCACACACACACACATGCTGGTGTCAAAATGTACGTACACGTTTGTTATAAACTACATTCATTGTTGATACTGTTGAAATAACCGAACTCTTATTAAATATTCTCGGTTTTTTCTCCTTATCGCATCGATTCATAACTTGAATCATCGCCTGCACTAACGCCATACCGTGTTAGCTGATATAGAGCACTTGAGATGCAACTGTCATCATATGTTACACACTGCAGCACAGAAACCATAAGAGATCGCAAAAGTCACTGTGTCTGTACCGATGCTTGCAAAACAATTACGGTAATGAGGGAATGCGCACCTCAGCGTTTATTAGGTAGCAATTAGAGAAGCAGCAATTATGCGCACCTCAGCACTTGAGACTTTCGATGTCTTACTCCTACTTGACAATCTATTCTGTCTACTAAAAGGCCCTTCAGTTATATCAACACCATTTATGGTAGATGGATTACGGTGTTTGTGGTTTTATGTTACACGTCGTATTCTCCCTTCGGCGCTAGTACTTGCGCAATTGGCGCTGCTGGTGCTGACTAGTGCTGCGCTGGCTATTGCTGCGCTGGCTGTTGCGGCGCTCGTTGGCGCAGCTGGAGATGGCTGTCGCATCTAGCGCTGGCTTGTGCGACGGTCGCCACCCACCGACGTCAGTAGCCCCAACCGAGGCTTCGTCGGACACGACGAGGGGCGACAACGGGGGCCGACAACGGGCGGAAATGAGGGTCATGATGAGAGTGGCGACGTGGGTTGCAACAAACGCGACGGCAGGAAACATGTGGGAAAGAGGAACCTCTGTAGAGGCGCGACAGGTCTATGGAGCAGCGCAACGAGAGGGCACGACAGGCCAACGAACACGGCCACAGCAGCATGGTAGCCCATCATGAGGAAAGAAAAAGGCATAGAAAAACATGTTCTGACACCATCTCAAATGTAGTAAGCCGGATGAGTAAGGCTTCAGAAACGTGAGAGGAGGTAACGAGAGCAAGGTGTAGTTGGATTGGTGAGATAAGCAAAAAAATATAGGCAAGGAAAAGCAAGGGTGCACCTCCAACGGATGTAACTTTTTTTTTTTTATCCAACAATTAATCTATACATAGCTATATATATTCCATATACATATGATTGTTAAATTCTCGTGTCAGTTAATCACGCACTCGTCTCTCCTCTGGCACCACCGTCTGCGTCACCCCTCCCGGCCGCGTTTGCGTAGCATGCACTCCCGCCTCCTTGTCTCTGGCCTTCCCAGGTCCCTGCCCCTACTCCCTCAGTCGCGCCTTCCCTGCAGCGCGGCGCTCCCACTCCTCCTCATTTCCTCCGACCTTTGCTCCTCTGTAGAATCTCCACATATACGTGTGGGGCCCCGCCCGCGTCAATGGACAGGACCGCGAGAGCTACTTTTTACTGGTTCTTGACGACCACACGCGCCACACCATGGTCTTTCCCTTGCAGGGCTAGGCGGATGTCCGCAACGTCTTGATCCCTTAGATCCGCACTTATCGCATGGTTCCGGCATGTCTTGATCAGGAAGGTTGCTCGCACCTCCATGATCCATGCAGTTGCTCCCCATTTTTTGCGGCCGCTTGCGGTCCGATACGCCGCGCATCAGCTCAACCTCTGGCCCCATGTTTCTGTACCTGACACCTCGCCTACACTGCGTTGGATGGGGGAGGCTGGCGGTGCCTGGCGTTTCGGGTCTGGGACTCACTTGCCCTTGTCCGCGATACCACCGCGGGGCAAGCTCTCTCCTCGCATCGTTCGTTGCGTCTTCCATGGCTTTCCCACAGACGTGTCTGGCTGGCAGTTTTACCACCCAGCCACATGTCGCGTCCTGTCCTCCCAGAACGTGACATTTGACGAGTCAGTTGCCTACTACCGTCTTTTCCCCCACCACTTCCCCCCTCCCCCCTCTCCCCCCCCCCTCCGCCTGTCTTCCTGGTTCTAGGTCCCCTCCGGTAGACCCCCTCCCCCCACAGGATCCTGCTCCCTCAGGTGTGTCTGAGGTTGATCCACCCCCCTTGGTTGAGCCTTTGGAGGTCTCCTCTGACACCTCTGTCCCAACTGAGGGGGGTGATTCTCTGCTGACGAGACAGCAGCCAATCGCTGCTCACTGCACTTGGAGACCCCTCCTGGTTTTCCACCTCGGCCGTCTTCGCCGCCTCTGCAGCCTGTCGCAGTGGACTCCGGTACTGCTGGGGGTGGTGACAATGGAGGTGCGGACAGGGGTGCTGGTCCTGAGGGCGCTGACTCTGGGGGTGCTGGTAAGGGTGCTGAGTCTGGGGGTGCTGGTTCTGGGGGTGTTGAGCGCCCTAGTGGTGGTGGGGTTGTGGGTGCTCCTGCTGGAGGTTCTGGGGGTGGACAGCAGCAGCAGCCTCATCGGCAAGAGCCTCTCTCGCGAGTGGGTTATCAGGCGAGGCCGCTCTGGTGGCAGTATTGGAGGTGCTGGTGCTGGAGGTGCTGGAGCTGGCGATACTGGAGCTGGAGGTTATGGTACTGTAGGTACTGCACAGCGGCGACCATTTTTCTAGCCTTAGTCGAAGTCGGCGCTGCCACCACCTAACTCGGCGCTTCGCCAGGTTCTGTCTTCCGTCTTCCATCGGCCTTACTCCTCCCCTCCAGCGTCTTCCGCCTGACTCGTCATAGCCACATTTACAGCCTGACTCACCATTGCCTGCTCCTTCTCCTTACACTGAGCAGACTGACTCCGTGACAAAGCGTCTTGAGCCTACGTCTCGTCCTGCCTCGTCTGTTCGCACAGTTTGACAGGCTCGTCGTGTTCGTCCTCCACCTGTTCCCGACACACACACACTACTACACTTCGTCCTTCCTCTGTTCCACAGCATATAATACTGCCATCCCCCCCAGCGTCTCCTCTTTCTGACCCTGAGTCTGACCTTGCTCGTGCTGCTAGTCCCAATATTATACATGTTCTGGCCGCAGTTGTCACGGACCCTTCCTTTAAGTCTGCTGCTTCGTCTGTCTTAGTCAATGAGCTCGTTGGCTTTGTTGCTGCCTGTCGTCTCGACTACGTTGCTGGTCTTGTTACTGAGTCTGGATCTGACTGTCCTCCGTCTGTTGGGGGCGAGCTTTGTCCAGTTCACTAACCAACTGGGCGAAAAGGGCATGTTTCATTAGTGAGTCAGCGCATCCTGTCAAAATGTAATTGTATACATTATTCTGTAACTGCCTGTAGTGTAGACTTAGTGTAGTTCTATGTTCTTGTTTGGTGGTGCACCCTCATGCTTGCCTATAACTTGTTCCAAATTCTATAGTGCAACCCCTCTCTTTTGCCCAACTCTCTTCTCACATCCTTGCCTTGCTCTAAACCCTAAAGCTATGACTTCTAAGGATGCTCCTAAGCTACTCTAGCTAAGCTACTATTCTGACATGTTATCAGAGCAGTTACGCTCCTAAGATCCAATGGGCACACCAACTTTGTTATCTATCATGGCGCTCGTCAAGCCCCCCGTCACGCCTTTAGATATGACGGTCGAGACCGTCGTTGCGGGCGGGACGGCGAGCATGCTCTCGTCGCCGCCCCATCGCACCTGGGCAGCGCCCGACGAGGACGCCCGCGCGGAGCGCCAGCGCGGACGAGAGCGCCGAGCGCCAGCGCGGACGCCAGCGCCCTACGCCAGCGCGGACGCCAGCGCCCTACGCCAGCGCGGATGCCAGCGAAGCGCGCCAGCGCGGATGCCCGGGGCGTGCATTGGGCAAGAACCGACGCGTGCGCCTCGTGCGCCTCCTGCCCGGTGCCTCGTGCACCTTGCCCGCCCGCGCCCGCCCCACCAGATCGCGCACCTCGCCCCCCCTTTTCCCTCTCCCTAATGTGTGTGCAGCAGTTTGGGGGGAGGGGGAGGGGGTGTAAGGGGGAGGTGGCACCAACAGCACCACCCTCCGCTTCTCTCTTTGACGGCCGCACCTGCTGCTGTGGGGAGGGAGGGTGGAGTGGGTGGAGTGGTGGGAGTGACGGGAGGAGCTACTGCCGCTGCCACTCGCCTTCCCCTCTCTCTCTCACTGCCGCACATGCCACTGTGTGGGGGAGGGTGAGGCAGGGCTGACGTTTCAAATTTGGGTACTCTGAGGGCTCTAATTTTTTTTTTCCTGAACACTGAGGTGAGGGGGGTTCGGCCAGATTTTGACCACTCTGATGGCGCAGTCTCCAGGGAACTCCTTCCCTGCTGCCACAGGGTTGACTAACTAGGATCAGAGTCTTGTTGCTACAATTTTTCTCTTATTACACATGCACTGTCAACAATGCCCGGCGAGTTCTGCAATACACAGCACAGCATATTACGTGAGGATGGCGCGGTGCGCGTTGCTGCAGATTCATCATTGTACACTTGGCATGCTGGCCGCATCGCGCCGCACCTGGCTGCCTTGCTGTGCGCAGCGCACCAACAGATTTTGTCAGCATTACGTGGTTTACTGCCCACTCGCATGAAGACAACCACGGGGGGTGGGGTGGGGAAATGATTATGCGTGTGGGGGGGGGGTACTTTCGGGAAATTTCGAGGAAGCTTCCTCTCGATAGACCGGCATACAGGGACCACAGACCGTATTCTCTGTAGGGCCAGACTCCATAAACGACTAAGTCTGATGCCTATTACACTATATCAGGGGCCTACAAACAATAACGCTGAGGCTCTCACGGATGAAATATTTATTGCACTGGAAGTACAATGTTCACAAGCTCAATAGCCTGGGGTGAGGGGGTGGCGGGCTTTTGGCCGCCGTGTGAAGGCTTGAGCAGGGACCACCGTGGGTGGGGAAATACGTTTGAGACACTTTCTTTCTATACATGTTACGTCCCAAATGTATAAAGTAAATAAAATATAAAATCTTAAAAGGCAATAGATTATACACTAGAGGGAATCATTCTTATTATAGGCTATAACGAGCATAGAATTTAACCAATGCGCACGGCTCCACCAAAAAACGCATGTGCCTACCATGGGAGTACATCTATTTTTGGGGCCCTGACGGTAATCATAGCAGGTAAGGAAGCTCTGTCATTGATTTCGTTAAGCTAGAACACAGCTTCCAATTGGTACGGGGTGAAGCATTTCTTTGTGTACAATATGCGTAACGATCAATGCAAGCAAATGTACAATGTAAGTGTAGTGTAGGTTCTGGCTATTCTGAAGTATACTACAGTGTAGGTTTTCTCATCCCTTGTTTGATGACTGTGCCTGGCCAATGAAAGCCCGGAAGGGATCGCCCAGCTGAACGAAAGGGTTCCAACCTTCAGCCGAGCAGTGCATTTCCTTGCTTGCAAATTTCTGCTGGTAGCTATTTGGAGATAAGGACTTCATTTCAAGCAGTCAACAGCTTCCTGCATCTCAGTCTTCATCTCGATCAAGCTACCATCATGTCGGGGGTTTTCAATGGCGACGAGACTGCTCCTTTCTTCGGCTTTATGGGGGCTTCCGCAGCTCTCGTTTTCTCATGTAGGCACTTAGCGGCGAAATGTTTGCGTTGGTCTGATCTGAACATTTTTTACCCAGATCCTTCCCGTTACCAAGCTTATCTGATTCCGCAGCTTTAGATCCAGGCATGTAACCTGTGCTGATACTGTTTAGTTTTGTTAACCCGTTGTTTCCGCATTTTACAGGCATGGGAGCAGCTTACGGCACAGCAAAGAGTGGCGTCGGTGTTGCATCCATGGGTGTTATGAGGCCTGAACTCGTCATGAAGTCTATTGTTCCCGTTGTTATGGCTGGTGTGCTTGGTATTTACGGCCTTATCATTGCCGTTATTATCAGCACGGGTATCAACCCCAAGGCCAAGGCTTACTACTCTTTCGATGGTTACGCTCATCTCTCTTCTGGGCTCTCTTGCGGTCTGGCGGGTCTCGCTGCGGGCATGGCCATTGGGATTGTCGGTGACGCTGGTGTCAGGTGCGTATTTAGGGATTTTTTTTTTGGATCTGGTTGGATTGGCAAGGTGATCCATTTTTGCTTGTATCGCGGGTGTCACTTCGGCATTCTGACCCTTGTCGGCTTTGTGTTGCAGAGCTAACGCCCAGCAACCCAAGCTTTTCGTCGGCATGATTCTTATTCTAATTTTTGCTGAAGCTCTTGCCCTGTATGGGCTTATTGTTGGCATCATTCTGTCCTCGCGTGCTGGCCAGTCTCGCGCTGATTAGGCATGTTCGCAATGAGAACTTCGGTGATTCCGTTGTCTGAAGGCCCTCTCGACCCATAGCAAGCCACTGTAGCTTGGTTGCCCGTGTTTAATGTTCAATATACGGTACTGAAAGGTTGGAAGTAGCTACTTTTTATGACTAGTAGTTGTAGTTGCTACGGTATGCAAGCAGTCTTGGTGTTACCCTGAAATTGGCTTCATTTTGATTCCAAATTAACCCCCCATGGTGCTCAAATGCCGTGGAATAGAGCTGATTATGGTTCCCTAACAACCACCAATCCATCCTGAAAAATTGGTGCGATTAGTGGAGGGCGTTCTTTATGACGGTTATGGTCTGTTCAGGAAGCAGTAAGGTGCTATGTAGCAATCCTTAATAACGCTGACACATCACAGCTGTCACAACAAGGAAGCCACACCAAGAGAGAATGAATACGCAGAATGCTAACCAAGCCCATCCCCTAGCACCCCCAAGTTCTCCACCGGTGAGGTTACGCCTCAAGCCCATGATGATAACAAATACTACTGTGGTGCACAAGAAAGCTATAACCGAAACCTCCAGATTTAACACATCTGGGACGAATAACGAATCACCAGAAACTGCCTTCTCATAACCTGCCTTGATCAGCCATGCCAGCCCAAAACCCACAAAGACATTCACAGCATTTGAGCCCATGATGTTCGCGATGGCCACGTCAGCAGATGGTGAAAGTCTGGCAGCCGTCCTGCTTGCGAGGAGGTCAGGCACAGAGGTTCCCTGGTAAACAAACAGGGGTGAAGTGGAGGGAGGCTGGTGCGAGAATGAGGGTAATAGCATGATGTGAAAAATGAAAGCGTGGGGGCAATGGAACAACTGAAACACAAAAAAAATGTATGGTACTACTCAAGGCATCAGAAATCAAGCTGTGACTCATTCCTTGCAAAAGCTTACACTAGCCACGAAGACAATGGCAACCGAGAAGAGGTGCAGGCCAGATGTGCACGCAAACAGCCTTGCAAACTCCTCAATCAGAAAAGAAATGCCAGCCATGAAGCAGAGACCTGCAGGATTTATTACATGGGATTAAGCTCACAACACACAAGCTCCGATACTGTGCACAAAGTATGTCCAAATGAGTGATTCAAAATTAATAGCACAAGCTGCTTCGATAAAGACTACAGTGGATAGCAGGCCCTGGGAAGCAGCTGCATAACCCCACTCACAGAGGATGAAGGCTGGCCAGCCACGCATGAGGGAGGGCGGAGGGATGAGTGAGAAAAGGAGCTTCCAATAGAAGGAAACGAAGTGGATTCCAAGGCCCAGCAGTGACACGTCCCTCTCGTGACCTGGCAGCGGGACCTGAGAGATACCGAACGCCAAACAGGCAGTTAGGTAAAAGATAGACTCAGTGAAATGATGACAGAGCTGGGTGGGACGGCATACCGAAATTGCCTTCTCTATCTGCTGCAGCCAAGCCTCCCCCAACCCCAGACTGCTTGATAGGGCAGATGAGGTCGGTTCTCTGCATGTGCTCAGTCCACCCAGCCCCAAATTTCCTGGTTGGTTGGCAGAGAGCAAGAAAGTGGAATGAACTCAGGCATACTGTGAGTGACAAAAGTCCGCAAACGCCCACGCGCAACAGGGAAGACAAGGAAGAAAGAAGCACATGCCGTGAGTGACAGAATTTCACAGACGCCCACATGTTGTTTCTGCATACCATGTTGTTTCTGCAGTGCAAAGCGCAGACTCAGCACAGTAACTGTCACTTCCACCAGCTTGATTCCCTCCCCTGCTTCTATTCGCACTCCCACGTGTAGCTCTGCTCTCACTTCTCCCTCCACGCAGCACCCTTCCGCCCCACAACCCCGGCTCCTCCCTGCCCCACTTGCGTTCTCAAAGAGCAATGAACACGTGTACGCAGTGTGTGACTGTTCCAAAAGGGGTTCCAGTAAAGCAACTGCCGTGAACCAAGGTGATTGTGATTGTAAGGAGCGGTCTGTGACGGCCGCAGATGCGTTGCCAGCATCAGCAGATGCTGGTGAGCTAGACTGCAGGGATGGTGACGTGGCATGAGGGTTTGATGTGGACAGTTGTCGTGCATGCGTGCAGCTGCTGTTGCTCAAGAAGTGAGAACAGTGAGGAGCGGTCAGTACCAATTGAAGATGCTGCGCTTCTGCAGTGGCCACCTGGCTGGTTGGAGGGCAGTGAAGCGACAGTGGAAAGAGACAGAAATGAATGAAGAATAAAAGGGCACTGAGCAAGTCTGATCACCGGAGGCACATGGATGCATCAGATTCAACGTGTAACTAAAGCCATCTGACACTCACAAGGTGAGGGCTTGGACCGGAGAAGTGACGCAGCTTGCTGCACTGCTGCTGGCTCCGCTGGTGCTTGCCGGGGTGTGCTCGTACCGGCACACTTCCCTCTCTCCCGACCGCACTAGCAGCGTCCACTGCTCTGATACCCGTGTGGTTCACCGGAGTTGAAAGGAGGGTTGAATCGAGGAAAAGAGTAGAAAAAAGAAACGGGAAGGGAAACCAGTTGAAGGGGGAAGAAGACGGGCAAGATAAACACAAAAAAGTAATTCCAGCCACGTCACGTCAGCTGAGTGGCACAGAGGCAAAAGCAGTTTAGAATAATGCTGCTGGTAAAAGAATCATACATATTTGTATCATATTTTCTCGGTAGTGCTAGTCACATCTAAATTGGTGCTTGTCCCGAAGCAAGCCCACCTTGTAACAAATTTACATGACTCATAAAACCCCTAGAGTCCCCACCTTGTAACAGATCCACAGCACGCCCATCGTCTGCAGCAACCAGCCCCACTCGCCCATGCCCAGCCGCCCTCCCTCCCCTCGCATGCCCTTCTGCTTTCTCCTCTTCCTCCCACCGCTCCTCCTCTTGCTGCAGCTGTTGCTGCCTCAGTTGCTGCTGCTGCAGTGGTTCAAGAATGAGTGGTGCTGGCGAGGCAAGGGGCGTCGCGCGGACGGCAGGAGCAGGAGAGTGGGTGAGGCCTGGGAGCTGCGAGCGCAGCCACAGATGCTGCCCCAGGCGGCGCGAGCTAAGAGCAAGAGAGAGGGACAAACGCGGGGATAGGATGAGACGTGGCTCATGCAAAGGAGCGGGAGAATGGGTGAGATCAGGGATCTGCGAGCGCAGCCACAGATGCTACCCCAGATGGTGCGAGCTAAGAGAAAGAGAGAGGGATACATGCAGAGAAACACGCAGGGACAGGATGAGAAGTGGGAGTTTTTGAGTCGACTTGTGAAAAGCCGCTGGCGAATGGTGAGGCCTGGGAGCTGCCCGAGATGGAGTGAGCTGAGAGCGAGAGGGAGGGACATGTGCAGGGACGGGATGAATGAAAAGTGGGTGGGGAGTCACTGCAAAGAGACAACCAGAATAATCAACAGGACGGGGATTCAACATTCATGCAGGCGAAGCTAATGGCTGGCTAGGTAAAAAGACGCGTCTCATCGGAAACACGTACAGAGAGGGATCGGGGGAGTCGTGCTGCATGGCAGCAGCAGCGGAGATCCCAGCAGCTGACCGGCGCCTCAGGTTGCTACTGCTGGACCTTTGAGGCGCTGCCGGCGGTGCATTGAGGGAGACAGACCTGCGCCCTGGGGGAGAGGGAGTTGTGAGGGACAGCTTAAAAGGATTGATTCTCGTTGCATAAATCATCAAACGAGTGGTCGACTCAAAGGTGGCAAACGAAAGAGGAGAGGGTACTGGAGAAGAGTGGGATGTGGGGGGCAGTACCTACCTGCTTCAACTCTCCCTTCCTCAGCTGCTGCTGGCTCCACAGAAATGTTATCTGATGCTTCCTCATGTTGTTGTTGCTGCTGCTGCTGCTCATGTTCCATCCGCCCCTGCCAGCACACCAGCCACACACACGTTATCCAACAATCAGCACAAACAGTAATTGGAATTTATGAAGTCTTAAATGCCCAGCTCACAGCCGCTCACCACATCCTAAGCACATACACTCGCCACACCCACACACAACCACCACACCCAACCCACTCAAACTCCCCACACCCCAACCCCCAACCGCCACACACTCACCACGTCCTCCCAGTCACTCAAATCCGAGCTCCCATGCGACCTCTGCTCAACCCCCTCTACCGCCTGCCGCTCCCCTGCCCCCTCCTCCACACCCCCCACCGCAATGCTCATGCTTGCCACTTCAGCCCCTCTCTGCATTTCCACCTCTCCCTGAGCCCCCAGCACCGCTCCCGAACCATCATTGCTGCTCTTCCCCACCCCTTCCCCTCCTCTCCCTCCCGCCGCACCCACTGCTGTGCTTCCATAGCCCCCCCACAGCGCACGCCACCACGCACCAACTTCAAACGCACTCCCACCAGCAGCAGCAGGCATACTGGCGCCGTGAGCAGCAGAGGAACCTATGAGCGCCTCCCTGCTGCCCCAGTTCTTGAAGCGAGTGAGGGAGCCGCGACGGGGCGCGCGGGGGGTGGGGCGGGGCAGGAAGGGCAGGGGCATCCCCCACTGTTGCAAGTGCTGCCAGTGCTGGTCTTGCGCGTACGCGAGGAGGATGAAGAGGGGGAAGAAGAGCAGCGTGATACATGCCTCCAGTATGGTTACGCGGCCGGGGGAAATGACCTGCGAGGCACAGAGCAAACGCGTCGGAGGGGAGGTGAACATGGGGCAGAACCAAGGCGTTGTTCATCAGTGCAGTAAGTCCAAAAGACACTGTGAAAGGGAAAACTCATGACCTGACAAACACGGCCCAATGCATATGATACAAGAGGCCCACAGCAAGGTACCTTGAGCACGAGCAGGATCCAGATGTAAGCCCATGTGCTGGCTGCGAGCTCGAGCAGGAAGAAACCAACGGCCTGGATGCGCTTGATGGAATGGGCTGCTGGTGGCTCCGAGGTTCCCTGCCTGAACACACCTTGAGCACTAGGAGAATCCAGATGTAAGCCCACGTGCTGGCTGCGAGCTCCAGAAGGAAGACGCCAACAGCCTGGATGCGCTTGATGGAATGGGCGGGCGGCGTGACCACACAGACGGCCGAGATGACCATTAGGTTGAACGCTGCTGATCCCAGCACCGTGCCCGCTCCCAGCACTGTGGGGGGAGGGGAAGAGGGAGAGGCAGAGGAGAGGCAGAGGCGAACAGGCCGAGATGAGCATCAGGTGAACAGTGCTGACTCCAGCACTGCGCCCGCGCCCAGCACTGCAGGGACAGGCAGAGGAGAAGCAGGGGAGGGCAGGTGAACCGTGAACGCATAGGACAGGAATTCTGACACGCAAAAGTGACTGTGACCGTATCTGTGACAGTCGGTGCCTGTAACGGGTGCCTATGAGAGGTAAACATGGGATGCGCCCCGCCACATACTCATGCGTGACACACACTAATCGCCAAACACATGCCAATCCATCCCATATCAGGCATCCAGACAACCAGTCGCCGCTCTCCCTCCCTCAACTCACCGCCAGGTCCCTGGTTGAGGTGTTCGACAACAGAGATGACGATTTCAGTTGGCTCAAAACACACCTCAAAATCCCCCCTCCCTCCGCTCTCATCGCCAGGTCCCTGGTTGAGGTGTTTGAGGGCATCGACGACAGCAATGACGATTTCAGGCGCTTCTTCCTCCCCCTCTGTCCCTCCCTCACTCCGTCCTTCCTCTTACCGCCAGGCCCCTGGTTGAGGTGCTTGAGGGCGTCGACAACAGCGATGACGATTTCAGGCGCGGAGGTGCCGAGAGCCATGAGAGCGATGTTCACCACCGTGCTGTTCCACACCTTCTCCATCCGCCGCTCCTCCCTGCCCGTCTCAGGGTCGCGCCGACTCACCTGTGAAGGCAAATGAAGATGATCAACAAAGGGAAAGTGGATAGTACAGATGATCATGAAGTAGATCGCAAATGGATCGGACTAAGCGTCATCTGTAGAATGGTTTGCGTGCATTAAGATGCAGTTCGTACAATCAGATATGTGCTTAAAAGTTTGCAATATCGCCATCCATTACGTCCTCGAGATGGAACTCTTACCAGGGCGTATGTCCTCGAGATGAAACCCTCACCATGGCGTACGTGCTGGAGATGCGGTCGAGGGCCGCCATGAAGACGCGCACGATGGCGGCGAGCCCCACGAAGCAGTACAGCATTCCCGCCAGGTACCACGCGGACCGCACCGCCGGACTCCATAGCTGCTCCGCGGGAAGCAGCAGGAAGCTGTCGCAGCTGGTCGAAGAGGAGGAGACGCGTAGAGAAAATAACGTCAGGATAAGCACGGTAATCGTTAGGCCATGAGAAACGAAGCGATTATCTACGCGGCGACTAGAAACGAGAGCATAAAGTGCGAAGACAGTGAAAACGAGGCGGCTGTAGCTGTTGATGGTGAGCGATCCTCGAGAACCACAGACGACGGATCAGCAACGGGATTCGATACCTGGTGTTAAAGGGAATGACGTAGACGGAATAGCCGGTGGTGCTTCTCGAGGCGTAGCACTCTTGCACGGCGTTGGGGTAGGACAGTTGGATGTCAGGACACAGCTGGCGGGAAGACGTTATGTTCACCCCAGCAGGTTCCGCCATCGTTGATCCAGTTGTCTTGAAAATCCCACTACAGATTCTGCTCAAGTGATCTTTTTACTTCCGGCGCATAATCTCGCCTCAATAGCAACCGCAAGCACGGTAATGATCCACACCTGTGCATTCAGACTATGTAAGCTGTCTCTGGTGTTTGCTTGAGTCGATGCTGTCAAGGAAAGTGCCATTCCTCAGCGGACGCTGAATGCTGGATTGGAGCGTCTGAGAGCAGACTGAGGGCCTTGAGAATTTCCGGCACAGGGCGCCTTGGGAATTTCTGAACACAGTTCACGTGAATTTCTACCTCGAGGATTTGGTTCGGGAGTTGTCGTAGTGAACAGCACTTTCACCTAGCTGTGTTTGTTGAGTACAGTATTCTGCTTGTAAACCGTCAGTAAAACGCCTTATGAAGCGTATTGAGTGCTGTTCTTGGGTGGTGGAGGAATGGCGCGAAACCCGGCGCTGACGACCTCCGTGGTCGTCAGGCGTCGCACGACAGGTGGAAGATCGCCAAAACAGCAGCCCAATTGGCATTGACCTTACGCAAAAATCGAACGTCGGACTTCGCAAGCGAGCTCTGACGGTTAGTTTCGGCTTTGACGATCGCAAACGGGCAAGAAAGGAAGGGGAACAGCCAAGAGACGTAAATCGTGACGGAAGACAAACCCAAGGAGAAGAGCAGCACCCCAGAACAAGGGACCCCAAGAGACAGCTGGAGAAGCAAAGCGAGACGCCAATCCCAAAGGACGTCTGCCTTCCAACCAATCCCGACCGCAGAGTTCCTCCCTTCCAGGCTTCCAAGTCAACACCAGTCCAAATAGTGCCACCACCACCGAACTAGTTTCCTCTCCTAAGATTTACGGTTGTACTGTCTTAGGTTCGTCTCCGAGAATCACGGCTCACGCTAGGCCATGTTTGGTCTAAGCGTAGACATTTCCTGTTTCGTGCTACACACCGAGCTATAGCAATGAGAGGCGTCAAACTTCCCTGCCGCTTAGGAGGCTCCTTAGCTCAATTAAGTTCCACACGGTTCTTCCAGTGGTATAGGCTAAGTATAGTTTTGCTCTTAGTCACGTCATTTAATGTCGACGCGAAGAAACATGAAGTCCCGAAGGCAGCTGCCCCAGAGGAAGGTTCGTTATTTTCTGCCGCATTGCCACCCGCTCGTTGAGTCGCGTTTTAGGGCTCCGATACTCAGTCGCCAGTGGCTTCCTCGGTCTCTCTCTTGTTCTTCGTCCTCTAGCGTAACCTAAAGTCGCTCCCTTTCCTGTTCCTGCTCGACTATTCCCGTCGGTCCTCGCAGCAATCGCGCTACTTGCGTTCAAGGACCACTTTTACAGCCATCGGTCCTTGGACTCGTGGAACCTAACGGAGCAGCCTAACCACTGCGCGTGGGTTGGCGTTAAATGCTCCGATGAAGGCTACGTAAAGATTCTGTGAGTGCTTCCCCTGGCCTAATAAGATTTGCGCTTAGTTCATCAACAAGGCCGCTCCCCATGAGCTTGCGTGCTCTTTCCACCTCATCATCATCCTATCCGTCTCAACACTCGTCTCGCCCGGTTACCTCATTGCTAGTCCCAATCCCGCGTTTCTTCTGCGTTCCTCTTCTGCAGAAGCCTGAAGCAAGCGGGTCTGGTGGGAAACATATCGCCGGCTCTCGCGAAGCTGTCGCGCCTCAAGTCCATCAACCTGCACCGCAACTACCTCTTCGGCTCCATCCCCGCCGAGCTCGCAGGGATGAAGTCCTTGCGCCAAGTGTGCGCTCTCTTTGAACCCCCAAGTTTTCGTCGCAATGCAACTTTGTTCTCGTTCACGCTTATTGTCTTCGTCATTGCGCATGTCATTGGCACTTGCCGTCGTCCTTCGTCTTGGATTTTCTGGCACACCCACCACTCTCACTCCTCTGTGCCCCGCGCCTTCTCTCATATCCTTCCATCCGACCCGCCAACCTCTCAAGTTATCTCCTTTCATCCCCGTCCTTCCCTCTTGTGCCACGCGTGCGTTTGTGTGCTCGCTCCCACGTCCGCGTCGATCCCCATTGCGTGCGCTTCTGCGTGGCCACAGAAAATTGAGTTATAACAGACTGACTGGCACAATCCCCGCCGGCTTTGGCCGCAGCAGCCTCTCAACACTGTGAGTGCCATTTTCAAGCGTGTGAGTGCTCACAGCTCACCATTTTCAACCCATTCGACGCTCCACACTTTATGATGACGCATCTCTCTCAACCCGCTCGCTCAGCTCTCGTCTCCCGTCTAGCAGGGCAGCCTAACGGCGGTCACTGCTCACCTGCATGTGGCAATGCGGCGTGCGTGCGTGTGTGCGTGCGTGCATGCATGTGGTGCATGCAGGATACTGTTCAACAACAACCTCACGGGGCCCATCCCCGACTCCTTCGCCAACGCCATTCGAGTCAAGCAACTGTACGTCCTTGCTGTCATCCTATCATGCTGCGCGCACACACTCTCCCTCCCCATGCAACTCCCCTTCCCGCTTCCTTCCACCCCCCATCTGTTTTCCTGCATCTCAATCCTAATACCAAAATTGCCGTCTCTGCTCCGCTGCCCACGTCCTCTGTTCTCCCCCCCCGCCCGCCATGGCCAGTCGGCTGGGCTACAACGACATATCGGGCCCCATTCCCACGTACATGGGCGATTTCACCAACCTCTCAGTCATCTCTTGAATGAGACGTCTCAAAACCCGCCCATGCCCCCCTACCCCCCTGGCCCCCTACCCCCCTGCCCCGTATTCCCAGTCGGCTGGGCTACAACGACATAACGGGCCCCATTCCAACGTACCTGGGCGACTTCACCAACCTCTCAGTCATCTCGCTGCCAGGGAACTCCTTCACGGGCTCCATCCCCTCGCAGCTGGGCCAGCTCTCCGCCACGCTGCTGGGCCTCACACTTGATAGGAACCCGCTCTCTGGCAGCATTCCCGACGAGCTCTTCAACTGCAACCTGCTTCGCAACCTGTGAGTGCCTAACTTCCCGCCCATGTTTTGAATCGCCCAAGCTCTCCGCCACGCTGCTGGGCCTCACACTCGACAAGAACCCTCTGTCTGGCAGCATTCCCAACGAGCTCTTCAACTGCAACTTGCTCCGCAACCTGTGAGTGTCTCACGCCCCCGACTCTCCCCCCTTGGTTCAAATCAACCAAGCTTTTCCTCATCGCGTTCGCCCATTCATCCCAAACTCCCACCTCTCCATCCCACCCCCTTTTCCACCCTCTATTCCGGTGCCACGCCACGCCAGGACTTTGAACCAGACAGGGCTGACGGGTCCCATCCCTCCTTCCATCGGCGCCCTTACTGACATCTCCATGCTTGACCTGGGCGGCAACACCTTCACCGGCTCCATTCCCTCGCAGCTGGGCAGCTTGAAAAAGCTGCGCCTGCTGGACCTCCACGGCAACAATTTCACGGGCAGCTTACCGGACACAATCGGGCAGCTGACGAATCTCACGCTGCTGGACGTGAGCTTCCTGTCGGGTGTGAATGGCAACGTGCCGACGACTCTCTCTGCCCTCTCCCTGCTGAAAAGAGTGTGAGTCTTCTTCCTAGAATGATAGTATCTCCCCCGTGCTCCTTAGCCTCCCCTGCCATCACCACACAAGTCGAGCCTACCTTCGTGTTTCCTGTGCACCTTCTGCGCACTGTGGCTCGCCTTTTCTGGGATCCTGTGCGCCCGTGCTGGTGTCCATGCCATCGGCACTTGACCGTCAACATAAAATCCTCCACGGCGCCTCAGTTGTCATTTCTCAACGACTCTGGGATGGGCTCGTATGGGTGTGTGTATGCTATGCGTGTGATGTGCCTGGCACAGGGACCTGACCAACAGCAAATTCTCGGGACGTCTGCCCGGGGGCCTCATTGCATCGCTGCCTGACGAGGCGTCATTCAACCTCTCCAACAACTTCTTCTCAGGACCCATCCCCGACTCCCTCATGGCCCGCATCCGCGCCAACAGGTGCGCCACCTTGCGTGCCAGGATCACTTTTGAGAATCCTCACAAGAGATTTAGAAATTTATTATCATTCTTACAAGGTATCACAGGGCCCATCCCGGACTCCCTCATGGCCCGCATCCGCGCCAACAGGTGTGCCACCGCGCGTATCAGGATCACTTTTGAGAATCCTCACAAGTGATTGAAATAAAATATTATTCTCACAAGTCATCTCAGGACCCATCCCCGACTCCCTCATGGCCCGCATCCGCGCCAACAGGTGCATGCGCCTGCCTTGCTGCACCCCTCTGCCCACACTCCTCTTCCTCCCAATCCAGCCCTGCTCGCTTCCCTCCTCTCCACATCCACCCCAATCCTTTCTTCAAAGCTCACCTCGCTGACCTCCTCTCTGCATTCAGCCCGTTGCCCTGTCCCCAACCCCAGCTCACCCTACCCTTTTTCTCTCCTGACTTGACCAGCCATCACATCACACTCACACGCTTCCCGCCCCAACCCACCCGCCCCCCTTCCCAACTCCCCGTAAAGCGCACGTCACTGGCATCAACGGTGTACGGCAACTGCCTGTCGTCCAGCCCATCAACCCCTCTCCCCAACAACAACCACACCCAGCCCTCACGCTCACACCCTTCCCACCCCAACCCGCCCCTGTACTGCCTGAAACCCCCCCCAACCGCGCCCCTGGAAGCGCAGGTCACTGGCGTCAACGGTGTACGGCAACTGCCTGTCGTCCAGCCCATCGTCCCCCGTGTACCCCATGGACTGTGCCACTGTCGCCGACAACATCTGCTTCCTGCACCACCAGCGCCCCGCCTACCAGTGCTGTGAGTCCCGCCCGTGCCTACCAGTGCCGTGACTCCCCCCTGCGCTTGCCAGTGCTGTGAGTCCCGCCCTGACGTGCCAATGCCGTGAGTCCCACGCATAGCACCCTGAATCCCTGTTCACATCTTCTCTCCGTTGGTCGTCTCAAGCCTGCTACCACATGCCAATCCCCACCCTCCCTCTCTTCCACTTCCCCTCCTCTTTCCTGGTGCCGTCCCCCTCTACCCTACCCTTCAACCCCCCCGCCCCCGTCCCCCCCCCCACCCCCCTCCTCTTCAACTTCCCCCGTCCTCATCCCCGCAGTGCCATACGATGCTGCTCAGAGTGCGTCCTCCTCGTCCTCCCTCAGCGTCGCTCTCACCATCACGGTGCTCGTGCTGCTCGCCGTGGCCGTGGCAGCGGGTGCTGCATACGCAGGGGTGAAGCGCATGCAGCACGGCAGGCCCAAGGCCGTGCTGCCAGCCACTAAGGTGGTGGTCAAGGCAAAGGAATACAGTGAGTGGCAGGGTTGGGGGGAATGGGATGGGGGGAATGGGATGGGTGGGGGGATGTGGGAATGGGAGGAAGGGATGGTGAGATGGTTGCTCAGGCACATTGAATCAAGGGACCTGGTGCTCACACGGCTTGGTGTGATGGGTTCCTGGAGTTTGCTGCTTGTTTATCTTCCCTTGCAGGTGTGCCTTTCCTCGTGTGTTTCTCCTTGATGTACTGGATTGAACACTCTTTTGCTTGTTTACGCTATTGTGCTCTTGACACCCTTCCATCCGTTGCATGGCATGGTGTGTGACAGAGGACGTGGAGACTGGAGAGCTCAAAGCGCCCCCACCAGACACCTACCTGCCAGGCATGCCGCCAGGTCAGTCAGTGTCTCCCTCTGGTCTGGTCACATCCCTGCCTTGTTCTACTGCATTGTGACTGCTCGGTGCTGCTACTACCTCCCTCCTAGCCGGCTGTGCACTGCGAGTGGCATCTGTCTCTCAACTCAGTGCCTGCATCCCACCCACCACCCTCCCACCCACCCACCCACCACCGCCCTCCCATCCTCCCACCCTCCCACCCTTTCACCCTTTTACCCCCTTAACCTTCCAACCTCCCACCCTCCCACCCTCCGTTCCCAACCCCTCCTCTCCCCAGACATACCGCGCTTCTCCTTCACGCAGCTGAACCACGCCACGGACTGCTTCACTCACCTCGCCAACACCAACGACCCGCGCGCCATCTACGACGCCACCTTCCTCCTCCCCCCCACCGCCACCACCACCACCACCATCAACCCTGCACCTCCCGCACCTGCCGCCGCCGCCGCCGCTGATGTTGCCTCACCCGCAGCACCTGGCAGTGCGGCAGTGGCAGCAGCACCCAAGGTGGTGGGGGGGGGCGGGCAGGAGCATCTGTCGGTGCAGCTGGTGAGCTTCCCCGGGGTGTACCTGGACGCGATGAAGGACGAGTTCGTGGCGCGCGTCAAGCGCATCCACGCTGCGCGCCACCCCTGCCTCTTCGCCTTCCGAGGCTACGCCTACGAGGACGGCAACTTTGCGCTGGTTTTCGAGCCCACAAGGGAGACCCTCTTCGACCGCCTCCACGGTACGCTCTTTCCCACCCCCCCTCCTTTCCACCCTCTCCTTCCCGGGGTGTACCTGGACGCGATGAAGGAGGAGTTTGTGGCGCGCGTCAAGCGCATCCATGCCGCCCGCCACCCCTGCCTCTTCGCCTTCCGGGGGTATGCCTACGAGGACGGCAACTTTGCCCTTGTCTTCGAGCCGACAAGAAAGACCCTCTTCCGTTTACCTACTCTCCGTCCTTCACTACTGTGCCTGTTCCCTCGCCTATCCCCCTCCCTCTCCTCATCGTCGCCCTATGCCATGCTCCGACTGCTTCCTTTCAAGTGTCTTTTTGATATTGTAAGCAATCTACTCATAAGGCGTCCCCTCTTCCCCTTCCTCCTGGAAACGTGCAGAGGCGAGTGGAGCACCACTGTCATGGCGTGAGCGCATGGTGATCGCCCTGGGAGTGGCAGAGGCCCTCGAATACCTCCACACCGCCTCCTCCTCCACCCTCACCCACACCCCTCCCAAGGGCCCCTCCACCCCTCCCCACGCCTCTACCTCTCCCAACTCCACCACACCCCTCAACGACCCGCACACGCCCGTCCTCTCCGCCCACGAGGGCAGCACGAGCCTGAGCGTGGGAGCCGGCACTCCCCTGGGGTCCACACGGGGAGGAGGCGAGCAGGCGTGGCGAGGTGGCATGGTGCATGGCGATGTGAAATCCTGCAACGTGGTGATCACGGCTCACAACAAGGGCAAGCTCGCCGAGTTCCAAGTCCCCTGCGACGACGCGGACGACCCGCTCCGCTCCATCTCCCCCCGGGGGTCCTTTGGGTACCTGGACCCTCAGTATGCGGACACGAAGCGGCTGACTGCAGCGAGCGACGTGTACTCGTTTGGCATTCTGCTGTTTGAGCTGGTGTCGGGGCGGAGGGCCATGCTGGACGACTCGAGCACGCTGATCGTGTGGGTGCAGCAGTTCTTCATGCGCCGGGACGACTATGCTGGCCTGCTGGATGGGGCGCTGGTTACAATGGGCGGCGTGCCGCCCAGCCAGCTCGTGCCTGTGATTGAGCTCGCACAGGACTGCACTCAGGTGAGGAGAGGAAGGGTTTTGTTGGTACTGCGTGGGGGTTGAAGGGGGGTGTGTCGGGGGCGAGTGTAAGGCATGGGAGGGCGGCAATAAACTGCTGTCTGCTGCTATACGCAACAGTGTCCCATGCTACAGATGCTTCTCCAACCCACCCCATGTGTGTTCCCCAACCCTGTATGTTCCCCATGGCAGGTGAGGGAGGAGAGCCGGCCATCCATCCAGCAGGTGCGGGAGGTGCTGATGTCAGCAGTGGGCGTGGAGGGCGGGGAGGTGTACGAGAGCGGCAGTGTGGTGGGGTACGGTGATGGGGAGAGCGACACCACCATGAGCCACCTAGACGAAGGGCTTGTAGCCCGGCGTGCAGCAGACCACGCTGCTCTCGAGTCCGCTGCTGCGGCTGTGCTCGCTGCGGTCGCTGCTGGCGGAGCTGCGAGGCAGACTCTAGAGGTGTATGATAGCAGGGTGCATGGGCAGGATGGGTTGAGGCAGCAGGAGGGGGAGGCGGGAGCGGGGAGGTCGGGTGGGGAGATTGAGATTGAGATGATGAGTGAGGGGAGTGAGGAGGGGCAGGCAGCATAAGAGGAAGAAAAGGTGGTTACCACAAGTGGCAGGAATGAGAAGCCTAAGGACAGGCGACATGGAAAGGGAGGGAGTTCCATGCACGATGCTGTAATTAGTCCGGCCCTGTTGCCCTCCCAGCGTTCCTTTTGGTACAGCACACTCAGCAGCAAGGCTCCTGCCGCTCCTCAGTGGCATGCTTGTTTAGTTCTCCCTCTTTGTGTGTTGAAGCCTTTTCGGGCTAGACTTGTAGGTAGGTAGGTGCTTGTGGTGTAGAAGTGTTGCTGGGTTGTGAGGGCGTCATAAGGCAGCCATGGCTGCCCGTGTTCTGCTTGTAGCTAGTTGTAAATGTAGCTAACTTATAGTCAAACAGAGAACTGATGTCATATAGTTATGTTGTGTAACTACCGAAGAATACTTTCTTACCGTAATTTCATTACCACTCAGAAGCTCAGCTCACATTGCCATGCGCTGTGCACAAATCAGCCCTCCCCAACCATTCCTAAAGGTGCTCTCTAATCCTTCAATAATTATTGCATCGCAGTGATCGATCTACAGTAACCACTGGGTTACTATCGCACCACATACACGCGGTCATGGCGGCCCACAGTGGCATCAGCAGCAGGGTTGGTGGCCACATACGGCACTGGAGGGCCCCCCTGCCCCACCCCACCGCAGCGGTACAGCCCCACAGCCAGCTGCCCATACCGCTGCAGCAGGCCAAGGAAGAGACTCTCGAACGACCCTCCTACAAACTCTGCTGGTACTTCCTCCAGCACCAGCTCTCTCCGGAGTGGTGCAGAGCGGTGCTGGGGGTTGGAGTGGGAGTCGGAGCTGGTGGGGAGGGTGTTGGAAGGTGCAGTTGCGGCAGTGTTGGGAGAAGTGGATTGTTGCTGATGCCTTTGCTGCTGCCCCTGCTGCTGCTGTTGCTCTTGCTGCTCTTGCTGCTGCCGGTGGAGTGTGAGCAGTGCCTGTGCCTCGTGAGGAGCATAAATAGGGCCGCCTGCAATGAGCAGGTCTGCCAGCGTACTCAGGTTGCGGTTCAACAGCGCACCGTGGCTGGCGGAGCGTGGGGGTTGGAAAGTGGGCAGGGGCAGGGGGGCACAGAAGGGATCAGGTTAGAGAGCACAGGTGTTGCCAATCGAGGGGTTTGAAGGAGAGCGCAGAATGATGTGAATAAGGCGGGAGCAGGGGATCATCTGAGGACTCACATGAGGAACAGCAGGCCAGCATGGCAGGAGGCACGGCCGTCGATGAACGCAGGGGCGCAGCGCAGCAGCAGCAAGTGGGTTGATGAGTGTGTTAGTGTTAGTCTTCAATCTCACAATTTGTACTTTGTATTTTCTATATCCTAGAGTAGTGTAGTTTGCACATTGTGTTTGGTTGGGTGTACACCTACATCCCAACCAAACCCAAATGTAATCTCCAACCAATCTCCAACCCACCAATTGGAGATTGCCTTGGGATTACCCCCAATCCCTAGAGATTGCCCCCGATTCCCTTCCCCATCCTTTTCCTACCCCTCTTGGATGTACTTAAAGAGCTTCAAGCTCATTACTAATGCATCGCTTCTAAGCCTATTTCTGACAGAGTGTGGTGCAGCGTGACACAGTAAAGGATATATCACGTGAGGACTCACATGAGGAAGAGCAGGCCAGCAGGGCAGGAGGCGCGGCCATCAATGAAGGCAGGTGCACAGCGCAGCAGCAGTGAGTGGTTGATGAGAGTGGTACGGCGTGACACTCGCCACTGCCGCAGCGCGCCGTGCAGCACGCTGAGCGGTGGCAGGAACTGGAAGCTCTCCTCGTGCTGCACCTCGCACAGCACACGGTTGCTGTGTGGGAACTGATGCGGGTGTGTGGCATGCGCGTATGGTGCTGAGGGTGCAGGGTGCTGCTGGTGGGCCGAGGAAACAGAGGTGTCGGTGCCGGTCAGGTGCAAGTCGGGTTGGACGGAGGAAGAGGAGGAGGAAGCGGAGGAGAAGAAGGAAGGGGAGGCGGAGTGGGAGTGGGAGGAGAGGAGGCGGTCGACAGCAGCAGCGATCTGAACGTTCTCCACGTCCTGCGCGAATATGCCCGCACCCACTGCTGCCGCCGCTGTGCTGGCGCTGCTGCTGTCGCTCTCCTCCCCCACTGCCCCTACGGTGATGGGCGAGGCCACAGTGTCTGATGCCATTATGACTATTTTGGCTGGTGGGAAGAGAGGGGAGAGGCACGGGGTGGCAGGGGAGGGCAGAGGAGCAGAAGGGATGGCGTGGGGTGGTTGTGAGGTGCCTTAAACTGGGACTGTGCTGCGCGCAGCCACTGTGTCTGATGCCATTATGACTATCTTGGCTGGTGGGGAGAGAGGGGAGAGGTATGGGGTGGCAGGGAAAAGCAGGGGAGGGCAGGGGGATGGCATGGGGTGGTTGTGATGTACCTCAAACCGGGACTGTGCTGGGAGCAGCAATGGTGTCTGATGCCATTATGACTCTTTTGGCTGGCGGGGAAGAGATGAGAAGGGTGTCGATTCGCAGGGGAAAACAGGGGAGGGCAGGGGGGATAGCGTGAATGATGCATGCGGATGGCTCAAGGACATCAACGGACTGACTGGCAAGAGGAGCAAGGGCGCTGTTGCAGGCGGGAGGGAAGGATTGCAGGCACCTGCAGTGAGAACGCCGGCTCGAGGGAGGTCGATGGAAGAGACGAGTTTTTGAGGCGACTAAAGAATCACGTTGGCAAGTGGGCAGGAGCACAGCACGCACCTGCAGAGAGAGCGCCGGCTCGAAGGAGGTCCATGGGGGAGATGGGCGAGCCTCTGACGAAGTACACGTGCTGATGGTGCCCCACACACCCCCACTGCTCCTCACTTGGCTCCTGTAGCCGTAGAAACACGATCGGTACACACTCCTCTGCAACCTCCCTCCCTCCTTCATCCCCCCCTAACACATCATCCCGTTCCCCTGCTCCTTCCTTGAATGACCCGCCTTCTTCCTCTCCTCCTCCTTTTCCGCCGGTGCTTGTCTCCTCCCACGCGCCCGTGTCCCTCCTGAGAAAGCTGACAAAGTAGTGCAGGGAGTGCGGCCAGCAGTCGCTCTGCATGAGCACCAGCACATGCGCCTGAGGCAGCACCCCATCCACGGCTGCCAGCGTGCGGCTCTGCAGGTGCGCAGCAATCTTGCTGCGGTTGCGCTGTAGCGTGGACGGGTGCGGGCGGGCAGGCAGGGCAGGAGGCTCTGTGTCCAGTACGCTGGCTGCTGCTGCACCCACCCATGCTGCTTCCTCGCCTTCTGTTTCCGTGCCTGCTTCATCCACACTCCCAAGTCCTGCTTCTCGGTGACCAGATCGCGCAACTTTTCGTGCTCCATTGCTCCCAGGACCTGCTTCTGTGCGGTTAGATGCCCCCACACCTACCCCTGGTGCGTCTATACTCGATCCACCTGCGCTTGTGTACCTAGTTACTCCCTTCGGAGCAACCGTGCTCGTGTGAGAGCGAGAGCCCAGCGAGGCACTGTGAGGATAAGGCAGGGAGCGGCGGGAGGAGAGCGAGGCGCGGCGGGAGGAGAGCGAGAGGCGGCGCGAGGGCCTAGTGGGAGGCCAGTCCAGGACTGCACTGACCGACGCCACGAGAGCCAGCGGCTGGGGCGCGGGAAGGGCAGGGGCAGACGGGGATTCAAGGGTGGGCTGGCGGGAAAAGCGGGTGGAGGAGCGGGAGCGGGAAGAAGCACGGGAGAGAGCACCGGAGGGAGCGCGGGAGAGAGCACGAGAGATTGCACGGGAGGAGACTTTTCTTGATAACTGGCGGGCCAGCGCCCTGCTCTTGGCCATGAGTGCCTTGTCCTCGTCGTCGTGTTGCTCGTGCTGCTCTGTGGCGCACTCATTGCTCTCCCCTCCCCCTTCCGCTGCCTCTCCTGCCCTGCTCAGCCTCTCCTCGTCCCCACGCTGGGTGGAGGAGTGAGGGAGAGGCACGTGAGAGGGTCCACGAGGCCATGAGGCAGAGGCGGGACGGGTGGAGGAGGCAGCAGCAGGGCGGGTGGTGGAGGAGGAGGCAGAGCGGGAGAGGAGGAGGGAGGCGCGTTGGGAGGCAGCGGCACGCATGGCCTGGAACAGCTGCCGAGCTAGAGACTCCTCTGATAGCCACTCTGACATGCTGCGCCTCCTGCTGCTGTGCTTCCCACTGCTGCTTCTTTCACTACTGTTCTTCCCACTGCTTCTTCTCTCACCGCTGCTCCTCCTGCCGCCATCTTCCCTACCCTCCTCTGCCTCTCCGCTCGCCCTGCTTCCTCCACTCTCACCCACCCGTCTACCCACCTCCTCCTCTTCTTCCTCTTCCTCCCCCTCCTCCTCCCCCAATCCCTCAACAACCTCCTCTCCACTCGCCCCCTCACCCGCCCTCTCCAGGCTGATCTGGCGCCACGTCAGCAGGGCCTCTGCTGACCAGGCAGCACTGGAAGCGCGGGCCCACGTGGCGCACGCTGCACCCATCAGTTGCAGAAGCTTGGCGGCCTGCGGGCGCCCCTTGGGAACTCTGAAAGGCGTGGCATGATCCCCGTCACTTGTCACGAGAACTTCGCCTGTGGCCGGGGCAGCTGAGGACTGTACACCAGAGCTGGCTTGACTTAGATTACCTTTTCCACCCTTCCTCTCCCCACCAGGCCTCTCCCGCTCCTCCCAATTCTCCTCCAAATCTTCCTTCTCCTCCTCCTTCCAGTTCTCCCCTTTCTCCTCCCCCCCTCTTTCCCCCCCCTCCTCATGAATGTCAACTACTTTCTCGAATGGATCTTCCACATCACGCCCTTCCCCTCTCCCAGTGTATGGCCGGCGCATGCCGCCCCACCTGCCGCCCGCCTCCCATGCAGACAGCGAGTGCGCCGCCCGGGAGATCTGCTCCACTGTAGCAAGATCCGGCGCTATCACATGCCCCACATCCCGCGGACCAATCACGTGTCCCCGTGGAAACAAAAAAATCTTTCGCAAGCTGGCAGTGGCACCATCCGCTGCCCCTCTCCCAGCTGCCCTCCTGTTACCGTCCCCATCCCCACCTACCACCTGCCTCTCCTCCTCTGCTCCCTGCTCCCCCTCCGTCATCCCCTCTTGCCTCCCATCCTCCCCACCCACACCGAAGGAAGCGGGGAAGATGGAGGAGGAGCGGACGATTTTCTTGAGGGGGTGAAGGCGGGGGCCGTAGTGCACAATGGATGGGGTGGCGAGGGGTCTTGACGAGCCGGAAAGAGCGTGTGGTGGACGCGTTTCATCTGTTGTTTCATCTTCCGTTTCATCTGTCGTTTCATCTGGCGTTTCATGGAGGCAGATGTCGACTGCGAATAAAATGACTCGGTACGCGCGGTAGATCACCTCCACCAACTGATGCAGGGGCACGGCAGAACAACACACGCAACAACACACACGGAGGAAGATTTTGATGTTTGAGTTGACTGGAAAGAGTTTTTGAGTTGACTCGGTACGCGCGGTAGATCACCTCCACCAACTGATGCAGGAGCACGGCACAACAACACAAAAGAAGGGGAAACAGACGTGTTAAGAATTTCTAAAGGTGACTCCACTATTGTGGAAGAAAAGCATGGTGGTACGCGCGGTAGATCACCTCCACCAACTGATGCAGGGGCACGGCACATCAGCACACGCAACAACACACACGGAGGGAGGAGACTCTTGAGTCGACTCAAAGGGCAGCTGTAGCTGCGGCACAATACGACAGAGGAACTGACCAAGGCACGGTTAGAGAAGACAGCACAGCAAAGGAGCAGAACGCGAACCCAATCGCACTGATTCGTCAGTGCAGCCCCTGCGTACCGCTTCAAAGGGCATGCCGTGGAAGGCAGGTGGCAGCAGCAGGGGGAAGGCCTCCATCTGCTGCCCCTGACTCACCACCACTCGCACAGACCCTGCTCATCCACCAACCCACACACAACTACCTGCTTCACTCCAGTCCCCACATAGCATACCGCTTCAAAGGGCATGCCGTGGAAGGCGGGTGGCAGCAGCAGGGGGGAGGCCTCCATGCGCTGCCCCTGACTCACCACTCGCACATCCCAGTCCCCATGTACGCAAAGGGCTTCACTCCAATCCAGTCCCCACTCACCGCTTCAAAGGGCATGCCATGGAAGGCCGGGGGCAGCAGCAGGGGGAAGGCCTCCATGCGCTGCCCCTGCGTGTACTCGTTGAGGTGCGGGGCCGCTCGAAGGGGTGGCAGCGGCGGGCCCGACGAGAAGAGGTTCGTGATGAGCGTGCTCACGGCAGGGACCTCACAGCTGCGGTGGCGAAGGTAGGGGTGGTGTGCATGTGCGAGGTGAATGAATAGCGAGCTCAGAGTGACAGTGGTTGAGAGAAGAGGTTCGTGACGAGCGTGCTGATGGCTGGCATGGCAACTCGCAGCTGCAGTGGCGCGTGGGGCGGAGATGGGATGCGTTGGGGGGGGGTGCATGCATGCAGAGGAAGCTTAGAGTGGTGGTCCTGATGAGAAAGGGATTGTGACCAGCGCACTTCACGGCCAGGACCTCGCTGCTGCGGTGGCGTGTGGGGAGGAGATGAGACATGTAAGTGAGGGGTGATGAAGAGGAGGCTCAGGCAGGCATGACGAGAAGAGGCTTGTCACGAGTGTGCTCACCGCTGGTGAGATGGTGAGAGGACCTTCAGCGCGCCCACCTCCCCCAGTTGCCACCTCCCCAGCCACCACCTCCCTGCACCTGCACTCACCCGCACATACAGCAGTACCTGCGAGCGAGGAGGCAGAAGCGCGTGGGGTCGGGGCAGAACAGCTCCAACGCGCCCACCTCCCCCCACATGGCACCCCTGCCCTCCACCTGCCGTTCACGGCCATGGGGAATGGGGGATGAGGGATGGAGGACAAGGGATGGGTGATGGGCCATGTGGGATGAGCGATGGGGGTTTGGGGATAAGGCAGGAAGGCAACAAGGCAGACAGGCACGACCCTCTCCTCGCTTTCCTGCATGCCTCACCTGCGGGCACAGCAGCTCCCCCTCCACGCGCACGCACCCCCGGCACGACCAATCCCCAACCCTCTCGCCACCGCATTGCACCACTCGCCACCTCATCCCACCGCATCCCTCACCTGTGGGCGCAGCAGCTCCACCACCACTCTCACGCGCCCCCGGCATGACCGGTGTGCCACGAGCCCTCGAATGAGCTGCGCCGTGTCCTCACTCTCCGGGTCCTGCAGACACACACACAAGGTTATACGGAGCCACAGAGGGGAGCAGCGAACTGTCAGTGGTGTGATGGATCATGTAAGGGGTTGCATGCAAAGTGCCTATCGGTCAGCTCATACCCATCTCTGCGCTCCTACACGCCCACCTCTGCGCTCCTATTGGCCAGCACGCACCCACCTCTGCGCTCCTATTGGCCAGGAGGTAGATGGCGAGGGCGTCCCTGGCAGCCACACGATCAAAGTCATCTGGACGGTCCATCTGCCCCTGCATGTAGCTCGCCTTGCCCTTGAAGAACCCCAGCAGGGCCTTGAAGGCGAAGCTGGGAGAGAGGGGGAGTGTGGGAGAGGGGTGTGAAGTAAGAAAGGAGATGATTTCTAAACTCCAGACAAAGTGGCAGTGGGCATGTCATCTGGATGCTCCATCTGCCCCTGCATGTAGCTCGCCTTTCCCTTGAAAAAACCCAGCAGGGCCTTGAAGGCGAAGCTGCTCCGAGCGGCGGCATGGGGATTTATGGGTGAGAGGGGGAGATGAGGGAGGAGTGTATGGTAGGAGAGAATGGGAGGAGGAGAATGGGTGGACTTGTGGAGAGTTCAACAGACCATGCGGTGAACAAAGGTGCCGGAGGGGCAGGTGAGAGGCTTCGGCACGGGTGAGTGGAGGATTCATGAAAAGGGGCAACCAAGAGAGAAGGGGGACTCTTGAGGGGTGGGAACTTACGAGGGGGGGTCGGGTCCCATAAATACCACCTTGAGTGGATAGACGGGGACTCCTGGTGGGGGGAGGAGGGCGGGGGAGAAAGCGGAGTGAAAGGAAAGGGGTTGAAAGGAGGGAGGAGGGTTGGAGGACAAGGGGATAACTGGCCATGGCAAGTAGGATACGCAGGATAACGCAAGGGTGGGAGGTTACACGGGAGAGCACTCGCCCCTCACTGATTGGGGTGATGCACTCGCCCCTCACTGATTGGGGTGATGCACTCGCCCCTCACTGATGGGGGTGATGCACTCGCCTCTCGCTGATTGGGGTGATGCACTCGCCCCTCACTGATTGGGGTGATGCACTCGCCCCTCACTGATTGGGGTGATGCACTCGCCCCTCACTGATGGGGGTGATGCACTCGCCTCTCGCTGATTGGGGTGATGCACTCGCCCCTCACTGATTGGGGTGATGCACTCGCCCCTCACTGATTGGGGTGATGCACTCGCCCCTCACTGATTGGGGTGATGCACTCGCCCCTCACTGATTGGGGTGATGCACTCGCCTCTCGCTGATTGGGGTGATGCACTCGCCCCTCACTGATTGGGGTGATGCACTCGCCCCTCACTGATTGGGGTGATGCACTCGCCCCTCACTGATTGGGGTGATGCACTCGCCCCTCGCTGATGGGGGTGATGCACTCGCCTCTCGCTGATTGGGGTGATGCACTCGCCCCTCGCTGATGGGGGTGATGCACTCGCCTCTCGCTGATGGGGGTGATGCACTCGCCCCTCACTGATGGGGGTGATGCACTCGCCTCTCGCTGATTGGGGTGATGCACTCGCCCCTCACTGATTGGGGTGATGCACTCGCCCCTCACTGATGGGGGTGATGCACTCGCCTCTCGCTGATTGGGGTGATGCACTCGCCCCTCACTGATTGGGGTGATGCACTCGCCCCTCACTGATTGGGGTGATGCACTCGCCCCTCACTGATTGGGGTGATGCACTCGCCCCTCACTGATTGGGGTGATGCACTCGCCCCTCACTGATTGGGGTGATGCACTCGCCCCTCGCTGATGGGGGTGATGCACTCGCCTCTCGCTGATGGGGGTGATGCACTCGCCCCTCACTGATGGGGGTGATGCACTCGCCTCTCGCTGATTGGGGTGATGCACTCGCCCCTCACTGATTGGGGTGATGCACTCGCCCCTCACTGATTGGGGTGATGCACTCGCCCCTCACTGATTGGGGTGATGCACTCGCCCCTCACTGATTGGGGTGATGCACTCGCCCCTCACTGATTGGGGTGATGCACTCGCCCCTCACTGATTGGGGTGATGCACTCGCCCCTCACTGATTGGGGTGATGCACTCGCCTCTCGCTGATTGGGGTGATGCACTCGCCCCTCACTGATTGGGGTGATGCACTCGCCCCTCACTGATTGGGGTGATGCACTCGCCCCTCACTGATTGGGGTGATGCACTCGCCCCTCACTGATTGGGGTGATGCACTCGCCCCTCACTGATTGGGGTGATGCACTCGCCTCTCGCTGATTGGGGTGATGCACTCGCCCCTCACTGATTGGGGTGATGCACTCGCCCCTCACTGATGGGGGTGATGCACTCGCCTCTCGCTGATTGGGGTGATGCACTCGCCCCTCACTGATTGGGGTGATGCACTCGCCCCTCACTGATTGGGGTGATGCACTCGCCCCTCACTGATTGGGGTGATGCACTCGCCCCTCACTGATTGGGGTGATGCACTCGCCCCTCACTGATTGGGGTGATGCACTCGCCCCTCACTGATTGGGGTGATGCACTCGCCCCTCACTGATTGGGGTGATGCACTCGCCCCTCACTGATTGGGGTGATGCACTCGCCTCTCGCTGATTGGGGTGATGCACTCGCCCCTCACTGATTGGGGTGATGCACTCGCCCCTCACTGATTGGGGTGATGCACTCGCCCCTCACTGATTGGGGTGATGCACTCGCCCCTCACTGATTGGGGTGATGCACTCGCCCCTCACTGATTGGGGTGATGCACTCGCCCCTCACTGATTGGGGTGATGCACTCGCCCCTCACTGATTGGGGTGATGCACTCGCCTCTCGCTGATTGGGGTGATGCACTCGCCCCTCACTGATTGGGGTGATGCACTCGCCCCTCACTGATGGGGGTGATGCACTCGCCTCTCGCTGATTGGGGTGATGCACTCGCCCCTCACTGATTGGGGTGATGCACTCGCCCCTCACTGATTGGGGTGATGCACTCGCCCCTCACTGATTGGGGTGATGCACTCGCCCCTCACTGATTGGGGTGATGCACTCGCCCCTCACTGATTGGGGTGATGCACTCGCCTCTCGCTGATTGGGGTGATGCACTCGCCCCTCACTGATGGGGGTGATGCACTCGCCTCTCGCTGATTGGGGTGATGCACTCGCCCCTCACTGATTGGGGTGATGCACTCGCCCCTCACTGATTGGGGTGATGCACTCGCCCCTCACTGATTGGGGTGATGCACTCGCCTCTCGCTGATTGGGGTGATGCACTCGCCCCTCACTGATTGGGGTGATGCACTCGCCCCTCACTGATTGGGGTGATGCACTCGCCCCTCACTGATTGGGGTGATGCACTCGCCCCTCACTGATTGGGGTGATGCACTCGCCCCTCACTGATGGGGGTGATGCACTCGCCTCTCGCTGATTGGGGTGATGCACTCGCCCCTCACTGATTGGGGTGATGCACTCGCCCCTCGCTGATGGGGGTGATGCACTCGCCTCTCGCTGATTGGGGTGATGCACTCGCCCCTCACTGATTGGGGTGATGCACTCGCCCCTCACTGATTGGGGTGATGCACTCGCCCCTCACTGATTGGGGTGATGGGAGGGAGGGATGGGGTGCAAAGAGTGCAGTCCAGCAGTGGATTAACAAGGCATGCATGGCAGAGGAGGCAAGTCAAGAAAGTCAAACCGGTGAAGCAGGTGAGCGAGGTGGTGGGTGCACGCACGGCCGTTGTGCAGCGGCGAGAAGAAGGAGCAGAGCAGGTCACGTGCACACTCCACAGACCCACCTTTGCAAATTCTGTATATTGAGAAAGTCTAGTATCTGGTAACACGTACGGCCGTTGTGCAGCGGTGAGAAGAAGGAGCAGAGCAGGTCACGCGCACACTCCACAGACGACACCCCCCAGATCACCACAAACCGCACCCCCACCGTGCGGTACCGTGACAGCCACCCACCATAGGGGCTGCGAAGGGGAAGAAAGGGGGGAGAGAGGGGTTGGAGAGGCGTGGGAAGGATGAGGTGCACCGCGTGAGGTCAGCAGGCCACACTCCACAGACAACACCCCCCAGATCACCACAAACCGCACCCCCACCGTGCGACAGCGTGACAGCCACCCGCCGTAGGGACTGAGAAGGGAGGAAGAGGGATGGGGGAATGATAGGGGAGGGGCGGGGGTATCATGGCGTGTGAAAGCACTAGCAGTGATGACCCTTGGAGGAAGAGAGGGAGAGAAGAGATGGAAGGAAAGGGCAGGGGGAGCGCGGGGTGCGTCAGTCTAACCTATTGGAGGCGAGTTCAACAAGGTGGCCGATCTGCAGTGGGATGTATGTGAGGGCTGCGAATATGGCGAGCATTAGTGGTCAGGCCTCACCACTGCCGGTCGGCACGGCACTGCCAGTCGGCATGGCACTGCCAGTCGCCAATATGTCTAATCTCGAACCAGTCTCATCTGGATACTTAGTCTGAGGTCTAAAACAGCCATCTGCAGAATGTCATTGCTCTTTCTTCTCACGAGCGACTTGCTCCACGAGCGCGCCTTGGTCCGGGGGCGCGCCTTGGTCCGGGGGCGCGCCTTGGTCCGGGGGCGCGCCTTGGTCCGGGGGCGCGCCTTGGTCCGGGGGCGCGCCTTGGTCCGGGGGCGGCGCGCCTTGGTCCGGGGGTGGCACGCCTTGGTCCAGGGGTGGCGCGCCTTGGTCCGGGGGCGCGCCTTGGTCCGGGGGCGCGCCTTGGTCCGGGGGCGCGCCTTGGTCCGGGGGCGCGCCTTGGTCCGGGGGCGCGCCTTGGTCCGGGGGCGCGCCTTGGTCCGGAGGAGCGCCTTGGTCCGGGGGCGCGCCTTGGTCCGGGGTCACGCCTTGGTCCGGGGGCGCGCCTTGGTCCGGGGGCGCGCCTTGGTCCGGGGGGGGCGCGCCTTGGTCCAGGGGCGGCGCGCCTTGGTCCGGGGGCGCGCCTTGGTCCGGGGGCGCGCCTTGGTCCGGGGGCGCGCCTTGGTCCGGGGGCGCGCCTTGGTCCGGGGGCGCGCCTTGGTCCGGGGGCGCGCCTTGGTCCGGGGGCGCGCCTTGGTCCGGGGGCGCGCCTTGGTCCGGGGGCGGCGCGCCTTGGTCCGGGGGCGGCGCGCCTTGGTCCGGGGGCGGCGCGCCTTGGTCCGGGGGCGGCGCGCCTTGGTCCGGGGGCCGCCTCGGTCCGGGGGCCGCCTCGGTCCGGGGGCGCGCCTTGGTCCGGGGGCGCGCCTTGGTCCGGGGGCGCGCCTTGGTCCGGGGGCGCGCCTTGGTCCGGGGGCGCGCCTTGGTCCGGGGGCCGCCTTGGTCCGGTGGCGCGCCTACGACCGGGGGCGCGCCTTGGTCCGGGGGCGCGCCTTGGTCCGGGGGCGCGCCTTGGTCCGGGGGCGCGCCTTGGTCCGGGGGCGCGCCTTGGTCCGGGGGCGCGCCTTGGTCCGGGGGCGCGCCTTGGTCCGGGGGCGCGCCTTGGTCCGGGGGCGCGCCTTGGTCCGGGGGCGCGCCTTGGTCCGGGGGCGCGCCTTGGTCCGGGGGCGCGCCTTGGTCCGGGGGCGCGCCTTGGTCCGGGGGCGCGCCTTGGTCCGGGGGCGCGCCTTGGTCCGGGGGCGCGCCTTGGTCCGGGGGCGCGCCTTGGTCCGGGGGCGCGCCTTGGTCCGGGGGCGCGCCTTGGTCCGGGGGCGCGCCTTGGTCCGGGGGCGCGCCTTGGTCCGGGGGCGCGCCTTGGTCCGGGGGCGCGCCTTGGTCCGGGGGCGCGCCTTGGTCCGGGGGCGCGCCTTGGTCCGGGGGCGCGCCTTGGTCCGGGGGCGCGCCTTGGTCCGGGGGCGCGCCTTGGTCCGGGGGCGGTCCGGGCGCTGCGCCTTGGTCCGGGCGCGCGCCTTAGTCTGTGTGCGCGCCTTGGTCCGGGCGCGCGCCTTGGTCCGAGGGGAGCAAGGGGTGCTCTACGCTCACCGGTTGGATGCGAGTTCCACGAGGCGGCCGATCTGCAGCGGGATGTATGTGAGGGCTGCGAATATGGTGAAGACGGCCACTACTCGCCCCCATGCTGAGTGCGGCGTCACATCGCCGTACCCCACCGTCGCCCCCTGGTGATGTGTGCGGGAGGAGGGGATTGGGGAAGGTGCATGGGTGTAAGATGATGCATGGCACGGGGGCGATGAAGTAGATGGAGCAAAGGCAGACGAATGGTAACTACAATGCAGCACAAAAGGCAAAAGGCAATCTTTTCACAAGATGTGCACTCACCGTGACGACCATGAAGTAGAAAGAATCAAAGAAGTTGGTGCAGCCGCTGGCAGGGCAGTCTTGAGTCCACTCAAGAGTGCAGTGATGGCAGGCAATGCCAACGTGACCACCATGCACTCACCCTCACGCCAAGGCCATCCTTTCACAGAACACATAACTCACCGTGACCACCATGAAGTAGAAAGAATCAAAGAAGTTGGTGCAGCCGCTGGCAGGGCAGTCATTCTCCACCTTGTAGGCTTGCGTGGTGTCCCAATACTCCACGTACTGGAATAGACCCGCACCCACCAGCACTGTGGTGGTTTGGGGAACAATATGGGGAGGAAACAGGAGGGCAGCAGGGAAAGAGAGGAAGGGAAAAGCACCCATGCTCTCCTTGTATGCCTGACTTGTGTCCCAATACTCCACGTACTGGAACAGGCCCGCACCCACCAGCACTGTGGTGGTTTGGGGAACAAAGAGAGGAAGGGAAAAGCACCCATGCTCTCCTTGTACGCCTGACTTGTGTCCCAATACTCTACGTACTGGAATAGACACGCACCCACCAGCACTGCATTGGTGGGGAGCAGAGTGGAGGGAGGGGGGGGAGGAGGGTAGAGGAGGGAGAATGCATTCCTGCTCCACCTTGTACGCCTGACTTGTGTCCCAATACTCCTCGTACTGGAATAGACCCGCTCCCACCAGCACTGTGGTGGTGGGGAGCAGAGAGGAGGGAGAAGGCATGGTGAGGGGAGGGGACAAGCACTCGTGCTGTGCCTTGTATGCCTGACTGCTGTCCCAATACTCCACGTACTGGAATAGGCCTGTGCCCACCAGCACTGGCGCAGTGGTGGGGAGAGTGGAGGGAGAGGGAGGAGGGAGAGGAAGGAGGGAGAGGAAGGAGGGAGAGAGAGGAGAGAGAGAGGGTTTGAAGCTGGCTCACACTAGTGAAAATGGCCCGAATTCAGGGTGTCAGGTCTAGACTATAAAACGGTGAAGATGGGATATAGACAGTCAAGATTGCATACAGACGGTCAAGATTGCATACAGACGGTCAAGATTGCTCACAGACGGCCAAGATTGCTCACAGACGATCCAAATTGCTCACAGACGGTCCAGATTGCTCACAGACGGTCCAGATTGCTCACAGACGGCCAAGATTGCTCACAGACGGTCCAGATTGCTCACAGACGGTGAAGATGGTAAATCCAAGGGCTATCATCTCCTTGGCGATAGCATTGCGCATGGTGAGAGCCGCCTTCACGATTGATATGGTGCTGCCACGTGGCAAGAGAGGAGTGGAGGACAGGAGAAATAAAAGATGGGAGAGATGGAGGGGTGAAGGATGGAGGGGTGAGGGATAGAGGGGGGAGGGATGCAGGGGGAAGGGGTGGACAGAGGAGGAGCGACGGGCAGGGGGAGAGCAGTTGGCGCCGTATTGTGAGCAGCAGGCTGGCTGCATGAAGCATAACACAAGAGGAGGGTGAGGAGAGCACAAGAGGAGGGCGAGGAGAAGGCGAGGGGCTGACCGGATGACGCGGAGGAAGGTGAGGAGCTGCGGCAGCCGCACCCCGTTGCTGGTGCCCGCATGCTTGTTCCTGGTGTGGCATGGGATGGCGTTGGGGTAAGGACGTGTGTTCGAGTGAGAGATGTGTGGGGAGGAGGGGGGTTGCGGAAGGTGAGGAGCTGCGGCAGCCGCACCCCGTTGCTGGTGCCCGCATGCTTGTTCCTGGTGTGGCGTGGCCGGGCAGGAAAAGGCAGGGCGTGGCATGGTGTGGTGTGAGATGCCAGGGCGTAGGGGGAAAGAATGGGCGGATGGACGGATGGGTGGATGGGTGGGTGGGTGGATGGACGGATGGATGGAAGGATGAGGAACATGAGGAGCACGGCAGCAGTTAGAGGCAGAGAGGAGAAGAGAGAGCAGGAGGAGAGGCTTACAAGCGGATGAGGAGGAGAGGCTTACAAGCGGATGAGGAGGAGAGGCAACAAGGAGATGAAGTCGAGAATGCCCTGCCACGACACCATGTACTGAAACCATGAGTACGCACTGAGAGGGGGAGGGCGAGAGCAAGGGGGAGGGCAAGGACGAGGGGGAGGGGGAGGGGAGGGGGAGGGGAGGGGTATGGGAGGGGGAGGGGAGGGGGAGGGTAGGGGGAGGGGACTATGAAGGAGCCTGAAGGGATGCTCTGCCACGACACCATGTACTGAAACCATGAGTACGCACTGAGAGGGGGGACGGGGGAAAGAGGGGGAGCGGATGGGGGAGGCGGGGGAAAGGGGGGGAAGGGGAAGCATTGTGGAGAACTCTGAAAAGCCCCTCCCATGACAGCGCACACAGCAGCCATGAGTAGGTGCAGGGGTGGGAATGGTACGGGGTTGGTATGGGCGGGGGTGGTATGGAAGAGCACCTGTAGAGGTTGATGATGTAATCTGTGAGGAAGAAAGGAAGGAGCTGAAGACGGTCTGCAGTGATGCGCTGTGATATGATGTGGAAGGTGGTGTGGGATGTGGTGTGCGTGGTGCTGTGTGCGAGGTGGAGTGTGCGAGGTGGAGTGTGCGAGGTGGAGTGTGCGAGGTGGAGTGAGAGAGCACCTGAAGAGGTTGATGATGTAATCTGCGGGAAAGAAAAGAAGGAGGTGAAGACAGTCTGCAGTGATGCGCTGTGATATGACGTGGAAGGAGGTGTGGGATGTGGTGTGTGCGGTGGAGTGTGCGAGGAGGAGTGGGAGAGCACCTGAAGAGGTTGATGATGTAGTCGATGAGAAAGAAAGAGCTGAAGACCGTCTGCAGGGTGACCATCCACTCCAGGCTTATGTCTGGATGGTACCTGCGCTCGTTGAGGGGAGCAGGGAGAGGGGCAGGGAGAGGGGCAGGGAGAGGGGCAGGGAGTGTCCGAGGAGTGTCTCAGAAGGAGCAGAGAAAAGAGAGGGGTGCACTTGGTAAAAGAGGAACAGGGAGGTTGCAATGGGATGGAAGGACGAGAGGAGAGTGTGGATGGAGCGTGGGGGTGTTACGATAGAGTGATGGGGAGTGTGGGTGGCGCATGGGGCTGTAACATGCGTTACAAAATGCGTGCCCTTCCTTCATTAGAAGGAGGCGCACTCACGTTTGCCAGACGTAGAGCGCGACGGACCCCAGCGTTGCCACCACGTCCAGCTGTGGCATGCGCTAAAGATTGATTACCCTTGACTGAAAGGCGCGCATTGATTACCCTGGACTGGAAGGGCGCACTCACGTTTGCCAGACGTAAAGCGTGACGGACCCCAGCGTTGCCACCACGTCCAGCTGTGGCGGAGAGGCAGAAGAGGGGCGGAGCGAGGAGCGGAGGGTGGGAAGAGAGGCATGAGGGAATTGCAATGTGAGGGGGAGGTGCAATGTGAGGGGGAGGTGCAATGTGAGGGGGAGGTGCAATGTGAGGGGGAGGTGCAATGTGAGGGGAAGGTGCAATGTGAGGGGAAGGTGCAATGTGAGGGGAAGGTGCAATGTGAGGGGAAGGTGCAATGTGAGGGGAAGGCGCAATGTGAGGGGAAGGTGCAATGTGAGGGGAAGGTGCAATGTGAGGGGAATGTGCAATGTGAAGTGCGGTGGGGTATGGAGGAGCAGGTATAGGGCTATGAGGCCGTTTTGCACGCGGGTGCAGCGAAGCAAGTAGCGAAACGAATGAGGCGACGTGGCCAGTAGGGCAGTAAGAGGGCAGCAGGAGGGCAGGAGGGCAGGAGGGGGCGGTACGATTTGGAAGAGGCGAGCGAGGGGTCCTTTGGAGAGCATGGCACGCAGACGCATGGGCAGGGGGATGCGGCCGAACAGAAACGCGTCGTCGTAGGTTGCCAGCACGCCCTGCAATGGGGGGAAAGGAGGAGAGGGGGGTGCCCGGGGGGGGCGAGATGGGGCAGTAGGGAATGGAGCACAGGCGCATGGGCAAGGGGGATGCGGCAAAAGAGAAACGCGTTGTTGTAGGTTGCCAACACGCCCTGCAGTGGGGGAAGGGGGGAGGGGGGGGGGTGGGAAAGGGGGGGGAGAAGGGAGGGGGGGAGTTGGGGGAGTGGGAAACGCGGAGGCGCATGGGCAAGAGGATGCCATGCCACAAACAACATGCGCCGACTCCTTTCCCCGCTCCCCTCCCGCATACCACGCGCCCTTCCCCTTCCAGCGGCCCTCCCCTCCCGCAAATGTCTCCCCTTTTCCCCTACCCCCAATTTCCGCCCCGTCGCCCGCCCGCCCGCACCCATCCCCCGCCCGCCTCTCACGTCGGGGGCTTCAACTCGCTTCAGCACGCGCTTCGAGGGCCCCTTGGACTGCTTCCGCTGCCGCAGGCCACTCCGCTCCTGCCACGTGGGATTCCGCACGGCGGACCCATCACCGTCCGCGCTTCTCGCCCCCCCTCCTTCCGCGCTTCTCGCCCCCGCTCCTTCCGCACTTCTCTCGTCTCCGCCACTGCGCTGCTCTCCTTTGCCTTTCTCCCTTCTAAATGAGCTGCTACCGGTGGTCGAATTGGCGCGCTGTAAAACCGTCGTTTCTTCCCGACCGCCGTTGCATCGGCGCGCTTCGACAGTCTGAGCAGCAAAATTCGCCATCTCTCTTCCTCCGGTCGACGGGACGCGTCCTTCCTGACGGTTTTCTACCGAGCCGCCGCTCTGTCCGGCTTCCGCCATTCGTTCTTCTCGCATCTCATCTTGGAGTCGCGCGTACGCGTCGCCTGCGACGCACCCGGAAGGCACGAAGCAAAGCGGAACCGCCTCGAGAGGCGAGCAGCTGGCGGAAGAGGCCGGCGGACGGCCGGCCATTCTGTAAACGGGCCGTCGGAATGCGAAGGAGAAGTTATAATCAGACGTTCCTAGGGTGATGCAGCAGAGAAGCTAACTTGGCGAGGAGGTATACCAGAACAGACGTGAAGAAAGCAAGAACACGTGCTAAATTGCCATCACACCCCCGACAACACAACACATAGAGTTTTTAGTGCCTGCAAATTGTGGGGAGGGGAAGAATGGGATGGAAAGGTGATAGCTGAACGATGCGATCGTGACCGTCAACATCAGTCAGACACATCCATACCGAATCGCTTCCCGCCTTAGACAGGCAGTTTTCGCGCTCAGCCACAGACAAGTCTCGAAAAACGGTACGAGCGGAAAGGGTACAGATGGTTGGTTCCTTACACATGAAAATGACACACACGTTGTACATGATGGTGAAATCTTTATAAGAAAACCTGAGCACTACTTTTCCTATTCTGGCAAAACACTGTAGCCAGCTACGCAATTCAATAAAGGAACAGTACTAAACACGACAATTTTGCAGCTTTATAGGTAGCAATCTACATACAGTGGACTACAGTAACTCTGGGAAGAACAGTGGTGGCAAACCACACTGCCTTCACCACCTCATCTCCTGCCCCCAAGCAGTGCCACCAAGTGGTATACCACCACCACTGCTCCAACCACCACCACTCGTCACCGCACACCACCAACCAACACCTCCACCACCACTTTCTCACCACCAACACCTCCATCCAGGAGGCTAGGTGACACTCCCTCATTGCCAGCCAGCAGTGCCACTGCATGGCATGGCATGACATGCCTGCACCACCACTCCTCACAGAGAGGAGGGCAGTGAGGCAAGGCAGAGTGCTAGTGGAAGGGGGTTGGACCCCCTGGGTAAGGCAAGAGCAAGGCAAAGAGAAAGAGGTTGAGCCTCCCAGAGCATGGCTTGTGAGAGGCAAGAGAAGAGGACTGAAACCACCAGACCAAGGCAAGCTAAGGACAGAGGAGGGGGTTTTCTCTGCCCCTTGCTTGCCTTAGCCTGGGGATTCCAACCCTCCTCCCCCCACTTGCCCCCACAAGCCTTGCCCTGAAAGGCCAACCTCCTTCCCCCGCCTTGCTCTCCCCACCACTCCCCACAGCCACTCGCCAGGAGCACCACAGCGGCAGCAGCAGTGAGGCTATGGGCCAGCCCAAGACCTGAACCCTCACCGACGTAGCAAGAGGGGAGCCCCACCAGACCCCCGGCCGCAAGGTCTGGTGTTCGTCCATTATGCCTTAACGTGCGGCTATTGGAATCCAGGCTTGGGACTGACTCACAACCCCACTGCCACCCCACCTTCACCACCACCGCCACCACCACCACCACCACCTCCACCACCACCACCACCTCCACCACCACCACCACCACCACCACCACCACCACCACCACCACCACCACCACCACCACCACCACCACCACACCACCACCACCACCACCACCACCACCACCACCACCACCACCACCACCACCACCACCACCACCACCACCCACCACCACCACCACCACCACCACCACCACCACCACCACCACCACCACCACCACCACCGCCACCACCACCGCCATCACCACCAACAGCACCAGCACCACCAACCCCAAAGGGTACCTTCAGGGGGGAGGGAGAGTAACAAAGTTAGCTCAGAAATAGAAGCACTGGAGCAGCAAAGGAGGGCAACAAGCCATAACACCTGAAGCAGAATGAAGCAGAATGAGAAAGCAAGTGAAGCTGAAAGTGAGAAAGCAAGAGAAAGGCAAGAGGCAGAACGAGGCCTAGCGTCTGCAAAATTGCAAGAACAAGGGCCTAGCGTCTGCAAAAAATCAAGAACAAGGGCCTAGCGTCTGCAAAAATTCAAGAACAAGGGCCTAGCGTCTGCAAAATTGCAAGAACAAGGGCCTAGCGTCTGCAAAAATTCAAGAACAAGGGCCTAGTGTCTGCAAAAATTCAAGAACAAGGGCCTAGCGTCTGCAAAAATTCAAGAACAAGGGCCTAGCATCTGCAAAAATTCAAGAACAAGGGCCTAGCGTCTGCAAAATTGAAGAAAAGGGGCCTAGCGTCTGCAAATTGCAAGAACAAGGGCCTAGCATCTGCAAAAATTCAAGAAAATGAGCCTAGCGTCTGCAAAATTGCAAGAACAAGGGCCTAGCATGCGCAAAATTGCAAGAATAAGGGCCTAGCGTCTGCAAAAATTCAAGAACAAGGGCCTAGCGTCTGCAAAAATTTAAGAACAAGGGCCTAGCGTCTGCAAAATTGCAAGAACAAGGGCCTAGCGTCTGCAAAAATTCAAGAACAAGGGCCTAGCATCTACAAAATTGCAAGAACAAGGGCCTAGCGTCTGCAAACATTCAAGAACAAGGGCCTAGCATCTGCAAAATTGCAAGAACAAGGGCCTAGCATGCGCAAAATTGCAAGAACAAGGGCCTAGCGTGTGCAAAATTGCAAGAACAAAGGCCCACGAAGCGTGTGCAAAATAGCAAGAACAAGGGCCTAGCGTGTGCAAAATTGCAAGAACAAGGGCCTAGCGAGTGCAAAATTGCAAGAACAAGGGCCTAGTGTGTGCAAAATAGCAAGAACAAGGGCCTAGCGTGTGCAAAATTGCAAGAACAAGGGCCTAGCGTGTGCAAAATAGCAAGAACAAGGGCCTAGCATCTGCAAAATTTCAAGAACAAGGGCCTAGCGTGTGCAAAATAGCAAGAACAAGGGCCTAGCGTGTGCAAAAATTCAAGAACAAGGGCCTAGCGTCTGAAAAATTTCAAGAACAAGGGCCTAGCGTGTGCAAAAATTCAAGAACAAGGGCCTAGCGTCTGCAAAATTGCAAGAACAAGGGCCTAGCGTCTGCAAAATTGCAAAAACAAGGGCCTAGCGTCTGCAAAAATTCAAGAACAAGGGCCTAGCGTATGCAAAAATTCAAGAACAAGGGCCTAGCGTCTACAAAAATTCAAGAACAAGGGCCTAGCGTATGCAAAATTGCAAGAACAAGGGCTTAGCGTCTGCAAAAATTCAAGAACAAGGGCCTGGCGTCTGCAAAAATTCAAGAACAAGGGCCTAGCATCTGCAAAAATTCAAGAACAAGGGCCTAGCGTCTGCAAAATTGAAGAACAAGGGCCTAGCGTCTGCAAAATTGAAGAACAAGGGCCTAGCGTCTACAAAAATTCAAGAACAAGGGCCTAGCGTCTACAAAATTGCAAGAACAAGGGCCTAGCATCTGCAAAAATTCAAAAACCAGGGCCTAGCATCTGCAAATTTCAAGAAGGACATAGCATCTGCAAAAATTCAAGAACAAGGGCCTAGCGTCTGCAAAAATTCAAGAGCAAGGGCCTAGTGTCTGCAAAATTGCAAGAACAAGGGCCTAGCGTCTGCAAAAATTCAAGAACAAGGGCCTAGCGTCTGCAAAAATTCAAGAACAAGGGCCTAGCGTCTGCAAAATTGCAAGAACAAGGGCCTAGCATCTGCAAAAATTCAAGAACAAGGGCCTAGCATCTGCAAAAATTCAAGAACAAGGGCCTAGCGTCTGCAAAAATTCAAGAACAAGGGCCTAGCATCTGCAAAAATTCAAGAACAAGGGCATAGCGTCTGCAAAATTGAAGAACAAGGGCCTAGCGTCTGCAAATTGCAAGAACAAGGGCCTAGCATGTGCAAAAATGCAAGAACAAGGGCCTAGCGTCTGCAAAAATTCAAGAACAAGGGCCTAGCGTCTGCTAAAATTCAAGAACAAGGGCCTAGCGTCTGCAAAAAATCAAGGTTAAGGGCCTAGCGTCTGCAAAATTGCAAGAACAAGGGCCTAGCATCTGCAAAATTGCAAGAACAAGGGCCTAGCGTCTGCAAAAATTCAAGAAAAAGGGCCTAGCGTCTGCAAAATTGCAAGAACAAGGGCCTAGCATCTGCAAACATTCAAGAACAAGGGCCTAGCGTCTGCAAAATTGCAAGAACAAGGGCCTAGCATGCGCAAAATTGCAAGAAAAAGGGCCTAGCGTGTGCAAAAACACAAGAACAAGGGCCTAGCGTGTGCAAAAATTCAAGAACAAGGGCCTAGTGTCTGCAAAAATTCAAGAACAAGGGCCTAGCGTGTGCAAAAATTCAAGAACAAGGGCCAAGCGTCTGCAAAATTGCAAGAACAAGGGCCTAGCGTCTGCAAAATTGCAAGAACAAGGGCCTAACGTCTGCAAAATTCAAGAACAAGGGCCTAGCGTCTGCAAAAATTCAAGAACAAGGGCCTAGCGTCTGCAAAAATTCAAGAACAAGGGCCTAGCGTATGCGAATTTGCAAGAACAAGGGCTTAGCGTCTGCAAAAATTCAAGAACAAGGGCCTAGCGTCTACAAAATTGCAAGAAAAAGGGCCTAGCGTGTTAAAAATTCAAGAACAAGGGCCTAGCGTCAGCAAAAATTCAAGAACAAGGGCCTAGCGTTTGCAAAATTGCAAGAACAAGGGCCTAGCATCTGCAAAATTGCAAGAACAAGGGCCTAGCGTCTGCAAAAATTCAAGAACAAGGGCCTAGCGTCTGTAAAAATTCAAGAACAAGGGCCTAGCGTCTGCAAAATTGTAAGAACAAGGGCCTAGCGTCTGCAAAATTGCAAGAACAAGGGCCTAGCGTCTGCAAAAATTCAAGAACAAGGGCCTAGCGTCTGTAAAAATTCAAGAACAAGGGCCTAGCGTCTGCAAAATTGAAGAACAAGGGCCTAGCGTCTGCAAAACTGCAAGAACAAGGGCCTAGCGTCTGTAAAAATTCAAGAACAAGGGCCTAGCGTCTGCAAAAATTCAAGAACAAGGGCCTAGCGTCTGCAACAATTCAAGAACAAGGGCCTAGCGTCTGCAAAAATTCAAAAACAAGGGCCTAGCGTCTGCAAAATTGCAAGAACAAGGGCCTAGCGTCTGCAAAAATTCAAGAAGAAGGGCCTAGCGTCTGCAAAATTCAAGAACAAGGGCCTAGCGTCTGCAAAAATTCAAGAACAAGGGCCTAGCGTCTGCAAAAAAATCAAGAACAAGGGCCTAGCGTCTGCAAAAATTCAAGAACAAGGGCCTAGCGTCTGCAAAATTGCAAGAACAAGGGCTTAGCGTCTGCAAAAATTCAAGAACAAGGGCCTAGCATCTGCAAAATTGCAAGAACAAGGGCCTAGTGTCTGCAAAAATTCAAGAACAAGGGCCTAGCGTCTGCAAAAATTCAAGAACAAGGGCCTAGCGTCTGCAAAAATTCAAGAACAAGGGCCTAGTGTCTGCAAAATTTCAAGAACAAGGGCCTAGCGTCTGCAAAATTGAAGAACAAGGGCCTAGCGTCTGCAAAATTTTGAGAACAAGGGCCTAGCGTCTGCAAAAATTCAAGAACAAGGGCCTAGTGTCTGCAAAAATTCAAGAACAAGGGCCTAGCGTCTGCAAAAATTCAAAAACAAGGGCCTAGCGTCTGCAAAAAATCAAGAACAAGGGCCTAGCGTCTGTAAAAAATCAAGAACAAGGGCCTAGCGTCTGCAAAAAATCAAGAACAAGGGCCTAGCGTCTGCAAAATTGCAAGAACAAGGGCCTAGCATCTGCAAAAATTCAAGAACAAGGGCCTAACGTCTGCAAAATTGCAAGAACAAGGGCCTAGCGTCTGCAAAAATTCAAGAACAAGGGCCTAGCGTCTGCAAATTTGCAAGAACAAGGGCCTAGCGTCTGCAAAAATTCAAGAACAAGGGCCTAGCGTCTGCAAATTTGCAAGAACAAGGCCTAGCGTCTGCAAAAATTCAAGAACAAGGGCCTAGCGTCTGCAAAAATTCAAGAACAAGGGCCTAGCGTTTGCAAAAATTCAAGAACAAGGGCCTAGCGTCTGCAAAATTGCAAGAACAAGGGCCTAGCATCTGCAAAATTGCAAGAACAAGGGCCTAGCATCTGCAAAATTCAAGAACAAGGGCCTAGCGTCTGCAAAAATTCAAGAACAAGGGCCAATCGTCTGAAAAATTACAAGAACAAGGGCCTAGCGTCTGCAAAAATTCAAGAACAAGGGCCTAGCGTCTGCAAAATTGCAAGAACAAGGGCCTAGCGTCTGCAAAAATTCAAGAACAAGGGCCTAGTGAGTGCAAAAAATTCAAGAACAAGGGCCTAGCGTCTACAAAATTGCAAGAACAAGGGCCTAGTGTCTGCAAAATTGCAAGAACAAGGGCCTAGCATCTGCAAAAATTCAAGAACAAGAGCCTAGCGTCTGCAAAAATTCAAGAACAAGGGCCTAGCGTCTGCAAAATTGCAAGAACAAGGGCCTAGCGTCTGCAAAAATTGCAAGAACAAGGGCCTATCGTCTGCAAAAATTCATGAACAAGGGCCTAGCGTCTGCAAAAATTCAAGAACAAGGGCCTAGCGTCTGCAAAATTGCAAGAACAAGGGCCTAGCGTCTGCAAAAATTCAAGAACAAGGGCCTAGCGAGTGCAAAAATTCAAGAACAAGGGCCTAGCGTCTACAAAATTGCAAGAACAAGGGCCTAGTGTCTGCAAAATTGCAAGAACAAGGGCCTAGCATCTGCAAAAATTCAAGAACAAGAGCCTAGCGTCTGCAAAAATTCAAGAACAAGGGCCTAGCGTCTGCAAAATTGCAAGAAGAACAAGGGCCTAGCGTCTGCAAAATTGCAAGAACAAGGGCCTATCGTCTGCAAAAATTCATGAACAAGG